GCACAAACTAAATGCAGTGATTGGTTAGTTTATGAGTACAGTAATTGCCTTGGTCACAGTTGTGAAATTAAGTTGACGGGGCAAGGTTTTGTTTATGTGTTTAATTTGTATATGTCTAACAGAAATTAAACCTATATGCAAATTTGTATATAAAAATAGCATGGCCAATCATCATTAGAATGCTTGTAAATGAAAGGATCATTTTTTTTAAGGTCTATATATAAATAGAAAAAAATTCCAGCTGGACTAATTAGGACCCTTTTTTAATCATTTGTTTATGCCATTTTTACAGTCACACATCAGCTTTGACATCATCCTAACACACTGATTCATGTTTTCCAGTTCACAGATCCTCTTTACAATGGGCTCGTTCTCTGAGATCTCTGTAAAGAACCCTGTGAACCAGAAAGCAGAACTCACAGAAATACTTTTTTTTTTTTTTTAAATTAACTGGCACTGAAAGTTCCCATTGGGATGAAACATTTCATCTTACTTTATAACACCTCTGACTGCACTTCACGAACTGTTCTCATGTGCACTGTGTAGCAAGTGACATGCTACGAAGCAGACAAGGGCTGGACTGTTGCTTCTGTTAAAAAGTGGTTCTTTAGACTTCCTCTCAAATCCAGTTGAAGACAAAATATACTTTTTTATACTTTAACTTATCCTTAACCCAAATGTTCATTTAAATGTCGACGATAATTTGCCCATCACCTTGGTCTTTGGTCTTGGGTGATTAAACTGCTTTCCAGAGAACCAAATGTTAGAGATACTAGACCAGATAGTGGTTAAAAACTCCAAAGGCAGTAACATAGCAATCTTATTCACAATGGGATTAACCTATTTTAGACATTCATTTTAAACACTACCTCAGTTAATATTAATAGAGAGTATAAAATCTGTGGTTTAACCCCTCAGAAGGTAACAGTAATTCTTTTTTGTCACTCACTCGTCCATCCTGAAATGAAGTCTCATTACTGTTTGTCTGAACTGTTTTGTTGTGTTTTTATAATTACTTTGAAAGACTTGTATGTATGCATCCTAATATTTGCCTATAGCACTTAGTTTGGGGAGACACTCAGAGCTTTTTGATTATCAGTAATTTAAGGAACAAATGTACTTAAGTGTATATGTTTCACTGACAGGTCGAATATATTCTTTTTGAGTACTTGTTTGTATAAAAGTAGACATTAATGATGAAAAATGCTCACATGCAGTGCCAAGTGATCGATCACCTTAGGGGTTTAAAAATAATAAATTATAGCAGAACAGGTTAGGAATGGGGTCAGTGGTAATAGAAGTAATTGAGAAAATCATCTATAATTGAGAAAATCATCTATAAATGATAGATATTACCAGACTAAAAAATACCAAAATAATGTCAATACTATAGGTTTTCAAGATTTTTAGGATTAATCTTAGTCCATATAAATCTGTACTATTGGTAATTACTGATAATTTGGAGGAATTTGGACAGTTGTGCTGGTTGTAAACTGTGAATTTCTAATAGTAAAGTAAATTGTTTTTAATTGAATTTTTTTTCAAGAACAGATTTTAGCTTCACATACTAAATAAAGACTGATAAAATTAGAAATTAGTATTCGTAATTAAATATCTAAAATTTCTTACATTTTTATTTCCTGTTTATGCTTAGGTAGATTTGAGGGGGAAAGTTTCTTCTCCCTAATAAAAAAAATTTTTAATGAAGATTGGTAGCATTTGGACATCCTGTAAGACAGTGACATTAAAAAAGGCTCTTTGGAGGTGGGTATATACATTACTATACTAGTTGCTCTAATATGTGTGCAAGTCCTTTTAAAATGGTGTCTTTAATTGTTTTCAACTCTTTTATCTGGAGCTTGGAACAATTAAAGCTGAGTTTTTTAGGGCATATTACAATGGCAAAGTGCTCAACAATGGGGTGGCCATGCGTATTTAGATTTGTCTACTGCTATTTATATACAGATTTCATTCCATTCAGAGGATGCGTTTTATCCCACATTAAGCACATGATTAAGCAATAAACACCAAATTGTCATCCAAATTATAACTGCAATTATTTTTGCATGGTAAGAGGGAGGTGCTGATTTTGTGTGAGATGAGCTTTGTAAACTACCTTGGAAAAGGGTCCTTTGGAAGTAAGGTTTTTCCCTTTGTCCTGTGCTTCCAGTTTTATCTCAGATTCACAACCCATTAAACCATAGGGAAAAGAAAAGGTAGAGTTCATTGCCAGAGTTTTACCAGAACTGTTGGAATAAAAGAACATTTCAGCTTTCCCAAAATGTAAGTTGGGAAAGGTCTGCCTTGGCTGCCAGTCAGGAAATACATGATTACCAGGAGTCCTTCAGTGAGAGTTTCGTAATGAAAGCATGCCAGTGAATCAACAGCAGTGTTTCTCATAGGACATGGAAATCTGAACCCTTTCTAGGAGCACTATTGTTTTCTTTCAGTCCCAGGTGCCCCGGGTATTTTTCATTCATAGTAGGTTTGTATGACCGACACAGAATGTGGATCCCCCCTTTGGAGTGTTTTTGTAATGTAGGTGGATAGCTATGCCACAGCATGCATGAATTGCACATTTTGTTTGATTTTTTAAATAAAATATTTAATTTGAGAAATATAATTTATGCCAAAAAAGTATACCTTGTAATTTTGCCACTAAAATGGTTGATTTAGCACAAAATGCAAAGTTTTGGGGCAGAGGTGGGGGGAGATAAAAATGTTTCATAGATGATAGTTGGAAATGTCCCAGTACTGGCCTGTCAGAAACTCTGACGCTGCATTCTAAAACAAATGGTGTAAATTAGTTTTGAAAAGTGGTACGGGATTGTGAAAAAAAATCTCAGATTAATGCTCCCTGACCACATGACTTTCTTCTTTTTTTAATTTAGTAATACGCTGCTACATATTTGGAGGTTCTGGTGTTTGTAGGTCACTGAACAGACATTGAAATATGATTTATATTGTATAACTGTAACATAGAAAGAAAAAGTATTTATATATTTTCCGTAAGAATATTTCATTGAGTTGTGTATAATTTAAATAAGGTTTGTCCCTAAATGGTTTTTCTCACCTTGATTTTTTTTTTTTGTGGTTTTCTTGTTTTTGTATAATGTGTACAGTTTATGTCAAGGGCATTAAAAGCCTCCTGAAGCATAATCTTATCAAAGGGATACATTCTTAATAAAATGTACTTAAAATTCTTAAACTTGTGTTGTTCTGTTTGAAATCTTAAAACAATCAGTGTTGATTTGAAGTATGTACCACTGAGGCTGATATATATGCTTCCCAGTAAAAGGGACTTTTAAGCAACACAGATAACCTAGTTCAATGACACATTCCTGGCTTGTTCAAAATGTCTTCAAATATCTGCACTCTCTTAAACATTATTCATAATCTAATCAAACATATCTTTACAGTTTTACCCTCAAATCATTATCAAAGGTCTCGAAAAAATGGATCAATCTTCTGAACAGTTCTGAAGTTTTTGAGGAATTGATGTACAATAAAAATGATAGGATGATGACTTCTGTGGGAGATGGTTGATTTCTCAGGCAGAAACTGGCCTGAGCAGACAGGGTAACATACGGCCTCCTGGTGGGGGAAGAATACACCACAGGGGAAATTATCAAGCCTGGAGATTAAAATTCACTGTCAAGACTGTGGTCTATTGCAGCTGATTAAGTGTTGTAAAATGTATGTCTCACTTTTAGAAATAGATTTATTTTGGATATTTTGGTCTTTAAGCACATTTCTGTGTATCGTTTTTCATTGCCTTTCACGGTATGTGTCGTTAAATAGTAGGCCCCCAAATAAAAAAGTACAGTGAATCACCCTACAGCTGATCTCTGGAAAATGTGGTAATATAGCTGAACTTGAGGAACTCTGTCTCATTTTTTAAAACTCTTTGATAAAAAAAATACTCAAACAAGTGCTGTCTTAGTCCTTGCGGGCTGCTGGGGCTGCTGTCACAAAGCACCACACTGGGCCTTAGGGGTACCCTGCCCATATAGTATGGGCTGCTTGCTCACCGGCGTGGACTGGCAGCCAGGCCAGGGCTCGCAGCGCCCCGACTCCTGTGTCCTCGCGTGGCGAAGGGGCTAGTGAGCTCCCTGCGCTGAGAGCATGTCTGACTCTCAGAGGCTCCGGCCTCATGACCCGATCACCTCCGAAGGCCCCACCTCCCAACACCATCATCTGGGGGTTAGAATTTCAACATACACATTTCGGGGGGACAGTCAAGACTATAACAACTACTTTTGATCTCAAAAAAAGAAACCAAAGTATACTAAAACTTCATTTCTTTGAGGCTTATAGAGACCAAGACAATGGCATTTGCTAAGTCCATTAAATTGAACATACTACTCTGTTACTGTGCTGGAAAAATTTAACCGATTCTCCAGGCATTTTATCTTTAAAGTTCTTTATGCAAAATACTTAATGTTTTCTAAATTCTTTGAGGTGAAGACCAGCTTATCTTTCTGCAGAGCTCGTAGGACAAACAGATGTCTAATTCAACTAGACCTTAATAAACACATTCCAGGAAGAGCCAGTTTCGCGTGAAGTCATGGGAGTCGGGTGTTAGATGTCAGATTCCGTAGCTGCTGTGCGACAAGGTCCCTGAATCGTCGGGGTACCCTGCCCATATAGTATTGAAACTGAAGGTTTGAAATACTAATTTACTTGGTGGCTCTGACCATGGGAGAGGAATGTTTATAGCCAAAACTATAGTTACAGTGAAACTGTAAGCAAACTGTTATTAGTCTAGCATTTCCTACTGGAGTTTTGTTATGGTTCAGAAAGTTGCCTTCATTTGACTTAGGCCAGCGAGTCTCAAAGCTGAGTGTGCATCCGAATGAATGCCAGGTGGACAGATGCCAGGCCTCATGCCAGAGATCCTGACTAGGAGGGCTCGAGTGGCATCCGGGCACACCAGCTCCTGAGGTGTATGAGCTATGCCAATGGTTAGGTTTCTATTTCATGGAGGCAGAGGAAGCATGAACAGTGGTGAAACTCTTTAATGAGAGCTTGTTACAACAAAAACGACTTCCAGGGCATGCATTATTTTTTTAAACTATGAAGGACTGTTTACAAGTCAGTCATCACTGCCACTGACATCTCTGTGGGCTTTTACGATTGCGTCGTGACAAAGGAACACGAGGGTAAATGACAACACTGAACCCAAGGTCCTCTCGGAATTACTAACCGAGATACTCGTTGGTACGGTGTTAGGAAAAGGCTTAGATACATGCGAGCACAGCGTTGAAGAGCCCGAACAGAAGCCCTGGTGCGTGCAGGTCCATGGAGGCCAGCTGACAGCCACCTGGCTTTAGGCGGGTCCTTTCCTCCCTCTCTCCGTGGGGTTGAGCGTGGAGTGCGGGGCGTGGGGTACCCGAGGCAGAGGCAGTGCCGTCTTCATTAGGCAAACGGCACCCCCAGGTGTGCTTGTTTAGAAACATGATCGACCCACATTGCGGCTGACGGGCAGGAGGCAGAGGAAGGAGCTGCGTGCACGGAGCACCTGCTGCGCGGCTTCGCGTCCACAGGTTCAAGGAGACGAGGCTGCTGAGCCGGAAGCGAGTTCCCTCCAGGTGGCCTCTAGGAGCTCTGCCCAAACGGGTCCGCAGCGTGGCTTCACTTACTAATGCAGACATATAGATGAGAGGGAGGGGGTACTTGGCCCTGACCACCTGCTGCACAGTCCGAAGGATGCCACATGAACACAGGCCACGTACCTGGCAGTTCTTGAAAGAAAAGAGGAACCATGGGAAGTAAACGGAACTACGCAATGCTGCGCTTTCCTCTCTCTGAGGTAGTCATCAACAATTCCGGTGGCAGACCGGCGTCCACCAAGCAGCAGCGCCGTTATCCTGACACTGGGAGTCCCTCTGACGGTGGTGAGTGAGAGGACAGGGTGGGGGTCTTCCCGACACGTGCACTGTCTCACCTGTTAGACAAGGCCTGCGCCCCCAGGAGTTTTTACTGCGCCGATGCACGGCCAGTTCTTGTCACTGCGAGACAAGTCCAACCTGTGTCGGTCTCAGACATCTGTGACATTTTCATGAAATGCACCTAGAAGAAGTAAACACTGACAACGCAGGCTCTAGGAACGAAACGCCGGTAGCCTTTTCAATTAAAGGCTTCAATCTGGCTCCTTTACCCTTAAGTTAGGAAATGTGGGGGTGGAACTTAATGGAAACCTTTCTGGTTACAGGCTGAATTCCAGGACCGGAGCCGCCCTGCCCGGGACTGCAAGGATGGGGTCTGCCCCTGCGAGGGGGGCCAGGGAGGCTGTTACAAGGCGAGCCTGGGACATGCAGCCATCAGGTAAGCAGGGTCCCCGCTCCCACAACGCGGGCGTTTCCACAGCGAGCCTGCTGCGAGGGAGGGAGGTCAGTTTCATGGCTTCTGAACTTGGAAACCTAGCGCGATGGCAGTGATCTTGTCTGACGCAGACCTGCCCGCCGTGGGGGCCTGGCGATGGGGTGGGGCCGGCCGTGCTTCTCGGGTGTCTCTGTAACCCCATGAAAGTGTGAAAGGGATGTATGCTTAGCCGCGGTGTTCGCCTGGATCCAAAAGGCTCATGGAGGACAGACTGCGATTCTCATTCGGGGAAGGTGAGGCAAGGCCCAGGGGGACGGCCATTTGCATTCTGTACTCAGAACAGGGTGCTAGCTCCAGGGAATTTGTTGGGGGACTGTCCTTGTGCCCAGATGTGGGTGAGGCCACCTGGGACACGTAATTCAGAGTGGTCTCTCCGGCTGGGGTTTCCCCCGGGGAGTTCATGTAGCTCGGCTCTAGGGACCTCAGCAAATTCCCAGGTGCAGTCAGCAGGTCCCCCAGCCCTGGGGGGGCTGTGTGGGGTGCTGGGACGGGGCCACAGAACCCAGCGTCAGGGGCTGCCTGATTGTAGGTCAAGTTCTCAAAGCAGATGCCAGGGCCCGGGCCCGCGGAGCTCTTCTCCGTGGGCAGGAGGTAAATGTAGTCGTGCTTAGTGCAGTCTGTTTCTGCCAGCGACTTCCTGGCGCCTGGGAACTGGGCCTTAATCCCCTCGGGCTTGTTCACAACCTCCAGCTTGTCGGGGATGCAGTCATGGGCACTCATGATTGTCAGGTGGGCGTTCTCCTGGCACGGAAACAGAAACAGGAAATGTGACCTGGGCCTGTCTGTGGGAGGCGCGTGGAGCTGCCGCTTTTCTCGGTCCCTCCTGGTCAGTGTTAACGAGGTTAGCAGGGTGTCCCCCCGCCCCCCCCAACGCCCTGGGAGAGAGGGGCCTGGCTCGCTCTGTCTGTCTTCCTGGGAAGTCCACGGAAGTGCAATTGCTACAGCCCAGCCGGGGCTGGAGTCTCATAGGTCTAGGGTTTCCATACAATTCCCCAGCATTTACCTTGGGTTTTAGTAAGGACAGGACGCTGCTCTTGTATGGGTCTGGAATGTCAGGATAACACGTCTCCTTCATCCTAGAAAAGCAGTGAAAATGAGACTGAATCTTGCTTGAATGTGTTGGAATAGTTACAAACGAGAACTCCTGGGTTGTAACCTTGCTCTGTGGCTCACTAACTGTGACCTTGGGTCAGCTGCTTAACCCTCGTGTACCTTTAATTTCCTCATCAGTTCCATGGAGACAATGATGGTGCTCAGGGTGGGGCAGTGAGATTGAGTAGTTATATGTCAGCACTTAGATCAAGCATGTCAAACTCAAAGGCTAACACGAGCCAAATAAACAAGGTTTAAGTGTATATGGGCCACAAAAAACCAAAAGCTTCATAGAAACGTAGGTTTATTTCGATAGAGACATGCTGAATTCAAAGGGCTGAAATAGATGTTAACATTAAATTATAGAACATTTTAATAAAAATTAATATTTTTTCTTGAGCATTAACTGACCAGACACTGAATAACTGCACAAATTAATAAATGTAATGCAAATAAACCTATTTTTTTTTGTTCTCTGAAAGCTAAATATTTATCTTGTGCACACCAAACAAGTCAGTCTAAGACTAGTGACATGGCAATTGGCTGCTAAAATATTTGCTGCTGGTATTAGTAGAGAGAAATGGTGCAACTGTGGTAAGGCACGAAAGGGAAATGATTGCAACATGATTATAGGAATCAGTCATTAGTGAATGTTGTAGTTTGTTATTAATAACTAGTGGTGCATGGATTCATACACATTGAAAGGAAATTAAATAGAAGAAATATTTTAATATTGCTATTTGCCCTTTCTCTATAATGGAAGTGTCAGAGATGAAAGAAAATTAGTAAAATGTATGTGGAGAGCGGTTTCAGTGTTTGGACAGGTTCAAGCCTCGGACTAATGAGAGGGCACAGTCCTCTCGTGGCCACGTGCAAGTCCCAGCTTGGAGGGCAAAGCCTTCCCAGCACAATTATAGCCAACAGCTATGGTTGTAAGTTTGAACCTATGGTCCGAACACGTGGCCCCACGTGCCTGAGTGATGTGGGCTTGATAGAGTTCAGGTGCATGTAATTGAGTAGATTCAAAATCCATGAGAACGTTGTAACCATGCCCTTACTTTGCCTGGTGAAATCTGGCTATAAAATAAAGAGACAGCTTATAGGCCGTGGCACTGTCTCTCTGCATTAGAGAGGGCAGCGTCCCACCCAGACGCAGCTTTCTTCTCTTGTCTGCCTTTTCTAAATCTTTCACTGCCCCCACTCAGGTTCACCTTTGGCCGTGCTGGTGTGGCAAATGTATATGGAAATAATATATAAATTGACTAATAACATGATATAACAACAACAAAGACATGATATAAAAAACATGATATAAAAACAACAAAAACATGATATAAAAACATCATTGATAAAAACAATGACTGATAAATTGATTAAACTTATTCTAATATCTCCCTGTATTCCACATTGAGTAAATACACTTTCAGAGTGCTTGACTAATTTCCCTTGTGATTCAGTATTTACAACTTTAACGTCACACGCTCTTCAAACTTAAGAGAAAGCAACATATAACTGACCATGTCTGAAAGCAGGTTCAGGTAGGAATATTCCTACTCTGTCTAGAGCAGCGGTTGCCAACCGGTGGTCTGTGGACCACTGGTGGTCAGTGAGGTCCAAAAGGTTGGCAACCGCTGGTTTAAGGAAACCTTTGGAGCAGCTGTCGCCAACCAGTGGTCCGCGGACCACTGGTGGTCATGGTGTCTGAGAGGTTGGTGACCAATGGTCTAGAGTTTGTCCTCGTGATTTATTAATAGTCATTGCAAGTGCTGGCATCACGGGAAACTGTCTTTGAATTAATTTAAATGGGAGGCCAGTGTCAGACAGGGACAGTTGTGCCAATAGTTGGTCTTCAGACATATTCTGTCAACGACGCGGCTTTCTTTCAGCTTCAGAATGTCAACAAAAACAACCAAATTCACAATCGACAATGACAGATCAAAAGACACGTGTGCAATTGGTGTCAGCAAGAGCTTTATATGTATCGCGCATATGCGAGTCAACGTTTATTTTTAAACTGCCAGTGCAGTCATATGTACCGGCCGGTCGGTTGGACAGTTGGATGAACGGACGGTCGGTCACTTAGCCTTTTATATATATAGATTATGTATAACAGGATATTGTAAAAATTAAGTTACGAAATTTTTATTAAAATGTTTCTTACATAACGTTATATTGGCTGGGTCACAAAAATATTTGTTGTGGGCTGCGTGTGGCCCGTGGGCCATGAGTTTGACATGCTTGACTTAGAACATGGACAACTGTACAGTGAGTGACGTACAAACATTAGCTGTTGTTATTGAACAAGTCTTTCATCTTTTTAAATGGTTATGGTTTTCTTTATATTGACCCCAAAAGCAAAATGTTGAACATTTTTTCAACTTTCCTCGTAGCCTCCTCTGCCCTTGTCTTTCCAGCCTATTCCTCATATTATTGGGGTGATTTATGTTTATCAGACTTCTTTCCAGAGTTTTCCCTGACTCTCTTCCTAGATAAACCCCCCCACACACGTACCACTGACTCTTCACATAGCACAAGACCGTGAGGAGCAGGAGGAGGAAAACCATGGGGAGGATGATGCGGATCAGTGCATGGGCTGAAAGAGAAAGAAGGCGATATTTTAAATGAGTACCTTTCCCTCCTCAAAGGAAGAAAAATAAGTTTTAGGTTGAGAGAAACTTTATGTGTTTATTATTTCTCAAAAGTCTACATGTGTAAGAGTCAATAAGGGACCTGCCTGCCTGGGGCGGGGGCAGCAGATTGGGGGGGCGGGGAGACAGACAGCCACCCAGCCAGCACAGGGCACACTTGCCCTGACACTTGTGACCAGACCTGATATCTCCTCTGATACATGGGCCATCACTCCCAGTTCTCTACCCACCCCCCCAAACCCGTGTGAGATTCTACTCTGCCCTCTGGCCCAAGTGTCATGGCGGGTGGCGTGTCCTTCTGTGCCCGGCACTTGGGGCCCAGCCATGGGCCTGGGTTTGCCAATGGGATGGTAGGAGTTCATGTGGATGCACTCGCTCACAGTTTTGCTTGTCCTCTGTGCGCCCGATATGCGCCAGGACAAGACTCTGCCCCTGATCGCCGCTGCCCCTCCCGCCTGAGCCCCAGGGGAGCTGCGTGAAATACACCTGAGCCCGCCTGGCCCAGCGAGCCGTGAGCATAAAGAGATTTTGGTTTCTGTATGCCACTGAGGTTTTGAGGTTTGCTTCCTGATTTGGCCTCTCTGAGGGCCATGAGAGACGCGTGCGGTTGGATAAGAAGTATTTGTCCCCAAACCTGGGGTTTGCACCCCTTCTAGTTAGTCTCTGATGTAGTGAATGTTTTAACTGGATAATGACTCCACTGCTATTTCTCCGACAAGTCAACCTAACCGGAGCTTCATTTCCTTGGTGCCCCTCTTTCTGTTCCCACTGCGTGCCAGCCCCCCATTAGGAATTCTGCTGGCTGCCGCACCCTCTCTGACAAATGCAAAGTGCACAGGGAGGGTCTGGAGGCTGACGGCCATTCACATGGAGTGGATTCTGTCCCTCCATGTGCTCCCTGCCCTCCCCAGGCCCCGGCCCCACCACGTGCTGTCCGGGAAGGAATGGGTTGGATTGGGGAGGGTTGGGGAGGGGAGTGCTAGAGTTTTGTAAGGGAGGGAAGGCCTGGGACGATGCCCAGCCATTGCTACAAGGCCGCTCAGCTCCGGAGAAAAGGACCCAGATGGTGAGAGGGTGGCAGGAACCTGGACAACTGGCCAAAAGGAACCCTGACACCAGGGAGAGGGAAAGAGACTGTCCTGACACCACTAAAAGCACCTTGCTCTCCACATCAGCCCCTTTGGCGACTACAGCTGGCTCAAAATCGGGTTAAATGAGGGACTTTTTAAATGTAACTGAGAGCAAGCCTGGGGACCTGACCATAGAAGTGTCCAAACCTCAGACTGGTTTGCTAAACTTTTCACTGGATGAATTTCCACACACTGAACACACCCCGGTGACCAGTGCCCCAGTCAAGAAAAGGAACATTACCAGCTCCCAGAAGGCTCCCTGGCGTCCCCACGCAGCCACCTCCCTCCCAGGGGAACCACTGCCTGTCTTCAGCAGCACAACCCACATGCCTCTGTGCTCTGCGTGGGATCAGACAGAAGGGGCGGGCCTGCGCTTTGTCACTCAGCAGGGCGTCTGTGCGGCGTCTGTGCCACTCTTGTGACGGCAGAATGGCACTCTTGTCACTGCAGTTAGGCAGCAACTGATTTGCTTTCTAAGAATAATCAGTATAATAACTAGAGTCCCAGCGAAGGCTAAGAAGGCTTAGCACAAAGAAGGGAGATGAATGAAAGCAGAAAGTACACTTGAGATAGAATTATATGTATTATATGTGTGTGTGTGTACACACACGCCTCTACCAGCCAAGTAAATACCAAAGATAGAAGAAAAATAGCCTGAAAATAAATTAGAAATTAACTCCAAATGGCAAGAGGGCTCGAATATTGTGCCTCCCTGACTGAAATCTGTATCTGACTTAGAGACGTGGGCCGTGGTCCCGTGATCTGCCTTGGACACATGGGTCATGTTCTGTGATCTTAGAGACGTGGGCCGTGTTCCCGTGACCTGCCTTGGACACATGGGCATCTTCCATGATCTGACTTAGAGACGTGGGCCGTGTTCCCGTGACCTGCCTTGGACACATGGGCATCTTCCATGATCTGACTTAGAGACGTGGGCCGTGTTCCCGTGACCTGCCTTGGACACATGGGCATCTTCCATGATCTGACTTAGAGACGTGGGCCGTGTTCCCGTGACCTGCCTTGGACACATGGGCATCTTCCATGATCTGACTTAGAGACGTGGGCCGTGTTCCCGTGACCTGCCTTGGACACATGGGCCGTATTCCCGTGACCTGCCTAGGACACATGGGCCGTGTTCCCGTGACCTGCCTTGGACACATGGGCCATGTTCCGTAGGCGGCAGTGAGTGCCCCATGTGCCCCTGTAGTCACGTGTCCCCATTGCCGGTCAGGGCCCCCGGGCAGCACTTCCACCGAGGAGCCCATCCTGTCCTACAGCCCCAGCTTCAGCTGGTCACGTCAGGCAGACATCTCGGCCCATTTGTCTTTCATGGGGGAGTTCTTCAGAGACCCTTCCCACCTCCTGTGGACCTTCTGTGCCCTCTGCTGACACCTGCTTTCTCCTTCCTCCATCAGTCTGTCTCCCCCACTTCCTGTTGGGTGCAGGCCAGGCTTTGCCAGGAGACTCCTATTTACCATTAATCAGCTCCTACCATTCTTTTCCCTTCGTTCTTCATCTTTCAGGCCAAGAGCATTTTTAAATATGGATCTCTTTTTTTTTTAATCCTCACCCAAGGACATTTTTCCATTGATTTTTTTTTTTTTTTTTTTTTTTTGGAAGAGTGGAAGAGAGAGGGAAAGACAGAGAGAAACATCGATGTGAGAGAAACACATTGATTGGTTGTCTCCTGCACGAGCCCTGACTAGGGCCTGGGCCAGGGAGGAGCCTGTAACCAAGGTATGTGCCCTTGACCGGAACTGAACCCGGGACCCTTTGGTCCGCAGGCTGACGCCCTATCTACTGAGCCAAACCGGCTAGGGCTGAAAATATGATCTCTTTATCTCCCCCTTTCCCCACCAAGTCTGCAAACACCAGGTTTAGGAACACATATGTCTTCCCCAACTGCACCCGCCTCTCATCATATCCGCCTCTCATCGCCCCCGGAGAGGCCCAGTCCAGGAAGCAATTAGTTTGCCACCCAATGAAACCAGCTCAAAGGCCAGCTGCCCTGAGCCCAGCTTGGGGAACACACCACTGCCTGCCCCCGGCGGCCTCGTGTGGCTCTCCCACAGCCAGCACTAAGCCATCTGCGACTTTCAAACTGGCGGGCCTGAGCGCCAGAGCAGTGCTGGGGGCAGGAGAGAGGCAGGAGCGGGTTTTGGGCCATGATCAGGCCGAGTAGCCCACTCAGCTGTTTTCTGTAGGGCGATTCTGTAACATTTTCTGTGACACAGTTTGGTCTAGAGACAGAGACAGACAGAGAGCTCCCATCCGGACAGAGCCGGGCGTGTGTGTGCTGGGGCGGGTCCCGGGCTCAGGGAGGCGGCGGCCTTGCACTGAGGACACTCACCGTGCTGCTCACGGGTGGTGACCTTGCCGAAGGGGTGGGCCGGGCCCTCACCGGCCCTCGTGCGCGGAGTGACCAGGAACTCGTAGAAGGATCCCGGCTGCAGGTTCTCCACAACAAATGTCTTTTGCTCTGGGTTGTCGATGTCATGTTTGCAACATACTGAGTTATCTGTGGTTTAAAAAACATTGGGAATGTGAGAGAGCTGGCGCTAACACTCCTGCTGACTCAGCACTGTGAACATTTTTAAAACAACAAAAAAATCAAATCAGAATTTCATCACGCAGGGACATTTTTAGGAATTGGCCAGAAAGGCAAAACATCCACTAGGCAAGAGATGTTGGTGATCAGGGGAGAGCGCACAGTTCTGTAATAGGTGGCAAGCTCTTGCCAGAGACTTAACCCTTTGCGGTCGTTTGTCTACTCTCAGCCACCAAAGCTTTTTTACCGTTCCGGTCGTATGTCTGCTCTCAGCCACCACAGCAAGGAACCGTACGAATCTTAACTCTATTCATTCATGTGTCAGTTCATAATTTCTCTGAAAGCTCTTAAGTGTCTAAGCGACCTTGTCACGAACCAAAACATTGCCCCGACAAATCGGAGATACCGAAACTCAATATAAACAAACGCGGTCATTCCACACTCGCCATGCAAAACACCATGGCGAGTGAGTCGCCTTTTGAGAGTGAAGAAATCGACAAGCTTCGGAGATACTTCGCAGAATTTCAAATAAAGCTTTACAAATTACGTTTAACTGTAATTAGGAATTCTCGCTTGTTAAGATATTTCAAAATAATACTCCAAAATGGCAAAAAGAAAGTTACCGAAAGAAGTGTACTGCGAATCTGAAAGTAACGATGAAGAGTTTTATTTTGGCACCTTGAATACTGACTCTGACGTAGAAAGTGATAACGTTTGTAGTGATTCTACTAGTAGTGACGTAGTTCCAAAAAAGAATTAATGAATCTTGTTTATCCTTCATAATCTTGCATGTTATGTATTACTGCTTATTCAATGGAAATTAATTCCAACCAGTACAACACCCATGTCCAAATTTAATACGACCGCAAAGGATTAAACATACATCTCATAATCCTGGCTGGTGTGGCTCAGTTGATTGAATGTCGTTCCCTGCACCCAACGGTCTCATATTGATTCCTGGTCAGGGTGCATAGGGGAGGCAACCAGTCGATGCTTTTCTTTCCCCATCTTTCTCTCCCTTCCTCTCTAAAGTCACTATAAAATAAAGACATCTCATAGACGCAGATAACAAAGTGATGGTTGCTAGAAGGGAGGGGGCTGAGGGTTGGGGTGAAGGGATTCAGAAGTACAGATTGATAGTTACAAATAGGCATGTAAAGAACAGCAGAGGGAATATAGTCAGCAATGTTGTAATAACTGTCTATGGTGTCAGGAGGTACTTGAATTATTGGGGGACCAGTTCGTAAATTATATAAGTGCTAACCACTATGCCAGTGATGGCGAACCTTTTGAGCTCGGCGTGTCAGCATTTTGAAAAACCCTAACTTAACTCTGGTGCTGTGTCACATATAGAAATTTTTTTGGTATTTGCAACCATAGTAAAACAAAGACTTATATTTTTGATATTTATCTACACTAATAAAAGACAAATATGCAAATTGACCATACCTTCGCTATGCCCTAAGCCATGCCCACCAGCCAATCAGAGTGACTATATGCAAATTAACTCAACCAAGATGGCGGCCGGCAGCCATGGAGCTGAAGCAAGCAGGAGGCTTGGTTGCCCCAGTGATGGAGAAAGCCAAGCTTCCCGCCCCACCCTGGCCAGCTCTGAGCTCCACTCAAGGCTAAAGAGTTTCAATTATAGAAGGTAAATAAATCCCAGAATAAAAAAAAAAAAAGAAAAAAAGGAGAGGCTGGGAGCTTCTGTCGCCGGGGGGCTTGGCCAGCCTGAAAACAGCCCTCAGCCCCTCACCCAGGATGGCCAGGCACCCCAGTGGGGACCCCCATCCTGAAGGGGGTGTGACTAGCTGCAAACACCCATCAGCCCCTCACCCAGGCTGGCCAGGCACCCCAGTGGGACCCCCACCCTGATCCGGGACACCCTTCAGGGCAAACCAGCTGGCCCCCACCTGTGCACCAGGCCTCTATCCCATATAATAAAAGGGTAATATGCAAATTGACCCTAACAGCAGAACGACTGGGAATGCCTGGTCACTATGACACACACTGACCACCAGGGGGCAGATGCTCAATGCAGGAGCTGTCCCCTGGTGGTCAGTGCCCTCCCACAGGATGAGCTCTGCTCAGCCACAAGCCAGGCTGATGGCTGCCAGTACAGCGGTGGTGGCGGGAGCCTCTCCTGCCTCCTCAGCAGCACTAAGGATGTCTGAATGCAGCTTAGGTCTGCTCCCTGCTGGTAAGTGGACATCCCCTGAGGGCTGCCGGGCTGCCAGAGGGATGTCTGACTGCCAGCTTAGGCCCAATCCCCCAGGGAGCGGGCCTAAGCCAGCAGGTGGACATCCTCCAAGGGGTCCCAGACTGCAAGAAGGCATAGGCCTGGCTGAGGGACCCCCCCAAGTGCACAAAATTTTGTGCACTGGGCCTCTAGTTTTATATATTTAAATGCCATTTAACAAAGAAAAATCAACCAAAAAATGAGTTCGCGTGTCACCACTGACATGCGTGTCATAGGTTTGCCATCACTGCACTATGCTGTACACTGTAAACTAATATAAAGTAACTAGAGACACAGTGTACGGATTTGTGCACCAGTGGGGTCCCTCAACCTGGCCTGTGCCCTCTCGCAATCTGGGATCCCTTGGGGGATGTTGGACTACGGGTTTTGGCCCGATCTCCGCAGGCCAGGGATCGTCCGACATCCCCCGAGGGATGTAGTCGTGCGCAAAGTGGCAGGTGGCTGGGGAGGAGCCTGAGCCCAGGCTGGGTGCCGTGCCGCTCCTGCTCATCTAGCACCCACTGCGCCTGCAGCCACCACCGCTCAATAGGCTCGCTGCCACTCCGCTGTGGTCTCCGGGCTGCAGCGGCCAGCCGTGAGCCCTGCGCCTGGCACCCATCGGTCAGCTGAGCAGCACTCCTGCTGTGGGAGTGCACTGACCACCAGGGGGAAGCTTCTGGATCGAGCATCTGCCTCTTGATGATAGTGCACGTCATAGTAACCAGTCGACCGGTCATTCGGTCGTTCGGTTGTTCGGTCGCTTAGGCTTTTATATATATAGATAGAGATATACATAGATACTGAATGCCAACTGTAATTGAAAAATTTACAAAAATACATAAATAACCTTTAACAAGGTCAAAGGGAAAAAGGAAAGGGGGTTCGCAAGGAAGTTTCCTACGTGGCAGGTTTTCTTGAGATGGCGGGACTTCAGGTGCTTCTGAAAATATCAGGCCACATGGTTTTTAAGTTAAAATATCGGCCCCCACCATCCTGTCCACCTACGGACTTGTTTAACAACCTGTTTGACCTGCAAGAATAGACAGTCACAGACGGCAGCCTGCCGCATGATTTCAAATAGTGACATGTTACAAGGGTAAACAAACACGCATGTCACCTGGGAGGACTGCCTTTGTGAACCCCGGGGGGCACTGCTCCTCCTTGGATCGCAGGTAGACGCGGTACCCTTGGATGAAACCAGGCTGGGAGTCAGTGGCGTAATCCGTCCAACTCAGAGTGAAGGAGTGCAATGTCAGGTTGCTTATGTACACGCGAGGGTTGTTTGCAGGAGCTGGGAAGGAAGTCGGGGTAAGAAGAGTCAGGATTTGGAAATATTCTCTAAGTGTTCCAGGACCCCTGCAGATACCAACATTCATGGAGGCTCAAGTCCCTTATATAACGTGGTGTGTGGTGTAGAACAGTGCCTATGGTTGGCACTCCACATCTGTGGATTCAACCAAACATGGATCAAAAACCGTATTTTTCAATATTAACTTGGGAATCTGATGGGAAGCCCAGGGATGTGGAGGCCTGACTGTATATTTATTGAAAAATAAAAAACAAAACCACACAAACCCTCATGTAAGCAGACCCACGCAGTTCTAAACCATGCAGTGCAAGGGCAGCTGCACCTAGAATTCAGGAACAGACGATTTCTACAAAAGCTGTATTCTCTTATTGCTGTGTGACCTTGTTTTGCATTTCTCTGGGCATCTGTTTCTACATCTGTGAAAGGGGAGGTGTTTCTACATCTGTGAAAGGGGAGGCTTGAACAAGAAGGTTGCTCAGCCTCTTCCCAGCTCTCCCAAACGATGCCAAGGCATAAGTCTTCTAGAGAAAAAGATAAGACTCCTCAGCCTGCCCCAGCCCCGCAGCCTCTGGAGTTGGCTGTGGTCCTCCTTTTAGTGACATATGTCCACCTGCACAGAGTTAGCGCCCATGTTTATTGAAAACAGTCTCTCTGTACAGGGACATGTGAACTCTGGGAAAATTAGCAATGGTTTTTCCCTTTTGCAAAGCATTTACTGGTATACATTGTGTTCAGTGAAAATGTCTTATGTTAGTATGGTTTAAAAATAATTTGTTAAGAACGCAATGACCAGAATCAAGAAGACACCGAACTTAGGCACGGTGTTGGAACTTCCTACACCCCAAGCTGAGTCTCTGGATTGTCCTGAGCAAGTCTGCCGTGGGCACACCACACGCTTTCACTCACCTAGTTCCTGGGAGTATCCTGTCTTTCTCGCCAATAAATAGGCCGTCCTTTCTGGAGAAATTCCATAAATCCTGAAGTTGTATCGGACCCCTGGTCTGAAAGCATCTAGAGAAGAAAAATCCACAGATTTTCAGTAACAGCACAGGATGACCCTCTCTTTCCTCCTGAAAAGGAAAAGAAGGAAAACGGAAGTTGTGTCCCCCTAGTAATCTCCTCGGGGTGCTGCCCTTTGCCCCCACTGCCTGCCCTCCCTCCACTGGCCTCAGAGTCCTCCATTGTCTCCAAGCAAGCCCATGGGACTGTTCTCTCCATCAGCCCTGGAGGAAGAGCTCTCAAACACATGTGCATGTCATGTGTGCATGACACCTCAGGCGTGTGTATGACACGTGTGCATGACACCGTGCAGGATTCGACCAGAGAGCCACTGCCAGCCCTCCTTTGATGCAACCCCCCTCCAGCGATGTGCCTTCTCTGCCCAGGAGAGCCAAGTGTCTGGAAGGCTTTGCTTCCACTTCCTGGCTTTGCCTCACACTGCAGTCCACCTGCAGCGCCCACCATGCCACTGACGTTCTCTAGCCAAGGGGAACCTGGCCTCCTCAGTCCCCAAGGGCTACTGAATGCCCTCCAGGGCCACTATCACCCTCTGGACCCGGACAATTCCCATGTTTTCATCTTGAGTCCAGCAGATGGCACTACCAACCCCTGCTCAAGCCACAAACCTAGGCTCCTTTGATTTGACTGATATGGCAGTCTTGAAATTACAAATCCAATGTGGGGGGTAAGTTCTGTATATTCCATTAAAGTTGAAGGAGTCGATGATCGATGCCCATCACTGTCCTAGGTGTCACCCAAATCCACACACTTCTTTGCTTTTGTAAAAGCTCTCTGGACAATTGTTAGAATGTCATGACTCATCTGAGACCACAAATTCATGAAAATCATGAAACCCTCTCCCAGCCTCAGGCTCAGATATTCTCTGGCAAAGTAGATCTAAGGTCAAACCTCAGGCCATACCACCTGCAACATTTGAAATCCTAGCACCCATGCTGGATTGGTAACTTCAAAATGATGAATTTATCACAGAGCATCTTCGAGAGCAACCAGGCAACCTCCAGTGGTTGGCAAACTGCGGCTCTCGAGCCACATGTGGCTCTTTGGCCCTTTGAGTGTGGTTCTTCCACAAAATACCGACTTCTTCACACGGGCCACAAAGTTTCAATCGCACTGCACGTGTGCGCCCACACGTGGTATTTTGTGGAAGAGCCCCACTCAAGGGGCCAAAGAGCCGCATGTGGCTCGCGAGCCGCAGTTTGCCGACCACTGTCCTAGCCGATCGTGCTGCAAGGTGGATGGGACAAGATGGTGATGTGGGAGGTTCTCACCTGAGCTGATGACGGTGCTAGTGGCATTGGGGCCCAGGTTTTCCCACTGGAGATCGCAGGACAACTCCTGGGGACCATCACACCAGTCCACCACGTAGCCTATGACATCTCCAGCTGGCGGTTTCCAGGACATAGAGACTCCGTCCTCTGTGCCTCGAATTCTTTCTTCTTTAACCTCTGCTGTTTCTTAGATGTGAGGGGTGGAAATTGAGGCGAGGACAAAAAGAGAAAAGACAATCTGGATAGGTACTAAGTTGCAATATGCAAGGATGTGCACACTCCTCGTGGCCAAGGTTGCCACCTCAGCGTAGTTTATGTGCCCAGGCAGTCTGGGTACGGTGTGACAGCTGGGGAAAAGGTGACATGGTCTTAATGGGCCACCCGTCCTACCGACTTAGAGCTGGGTTACTCTACATCCTGCGGATGGGAATCCCCCATTTCCCGAGGCTGCCTGCACAGCCTGCCCCATTCCCAGGCAGCGGTCTCAGCTTCCATCTGAGAGGGAGCCGGTCCCCATCAAAGAGTGAGCCCACGGGCAGCTGCCCAGAAATTCAACCACTGCGGACCACGTATTGCGTGGTACAGACAGACATTAAACATTTACTCTCTTTACCTGCAGTTGCAATTTCACCAGCGTCCTGTATTTTATCTGGCTATCCTACATACCGCTGAGCATTATGGGAAAGTGTGGTGTTGCTAACTCGGCCAGGGCACCACGTGACTACCCAGCTGGGGCGCCCAAAGGACCCTGCAGCCCTGGTACAAGGCAGACAGCTCCCCAAGGCCTGTGTGTACCCTACCGACAGGGCTTCCCTCTCCCTTCAGCAGAGACACACATCTCTCTCACATTGAAGCAGCATTTTCACGTCACTCATTCACACTAAGACCTCACCCGGGATTTAGAATCACAACTCTTATCAAGCTGCTTCTGTACAACTGCAGGACTGTCTGAGGAGGGGAGGTAGAGGCAGCTCCTTGGTCTGTCACCTCCTTGGTCTGTCTCAGAGGACGCCTGTGTCTTCATCCACTCCAGTGACAAGAATGCAAACACCAGGGAGGCTGGAGGGAGCCTCACAGAGGGTGGGGAGGGTCTGAAGGCCGCACAGGGAAGGAAGGTATGGTGGGAACCCCGAAACGGACAGCAGCGTCTGGGCTGGGCCTCCGGCGAGGCAGTCTTTCTTTCATCTCCCCTCCCCCAGGGGGAATGGAATGCCTGCTCTTCCTGTTCTGGTTCTAATGAGCACAGAATGTTGTATACAGTCATTTCCTCTCATAAGTACTGGTCTTGGCAGGCAACGCTTACGTTAAATAACTCCTTAGTTTTTCTTCTGCGCCGCAATCCTACTTTCTTTTTCTTACTTGATGTAATGCATCATTCTTAAAACAAGACAAAGCACCACCACCCTCTACTCTAGCCCACGTAACCCCAATTTAAGCCCAATGTGAATGGCACATGTATACCACCTGACCTCACCCCGTAAGCAGGGTCTGAGGATGTAAGAGTAGTGACAGTGTTGCAAGGTTCATGAATGACCCCGGATGTCAACTGTATTATGTTCAAGCGTGCATCGGCTCAGAGTGGGCCCGTGGGGTTAGTGCGCCGACCCCCATGCCCAGCTCGCGCGAGGAGGCAGTCAGTGTCTTTCCCACCTTGTCTGCTCCTTTCACGGGGGGTGAGCCAGTCCCCACGTTCACTCTACAGCTTTGGCAAAGCCCCTCCGGAGATACGATACTGGTTCTTATGGTCCCTGGAATGTTCATGGGCTCTTTACAGGCGGCAAGGACTGACAACAGAGCTTACAATGTCACACCTGCAACTCATCCCTCATGAGCCGCAGCCACATTTACACCATCCCCGCTCCCCGTCAGGGCTGTTCGCTGGTGGTGCATTTATCGGAGTAAATTTGAGATAATTTCCCGTTTGTTGAAGAGTCGCCAGGGCAGAAATGGCCCAAGCGATGGCTGGAGCCTTTCTCCCCACACGAGGAGGACTGCCCTGGGGAGCCCGCGGACACGCCTGGTCCGAAGGGGAACCACGGACACTCTGGTCACTGGACATTCCGTCGCCCCGAGTTACTGTCTTTCCGACTCACCCTTCTCTACCTGTAACATCACCAACGTCCTCCCAGAGAATAAAACGAGACAAAGCACAACTCACGGTTCCCAGGGTCCCCGGCGATGACCATCACAGACTCGGGAGACGCTCCCGCACCGTTGCTGGCGGTGACGCGGATTTGGTGCGAGCACCCATCAAGGCTTAGTTCTGTGCCGTTGGCCGGAGCAGGGATGGAGAAGAGCTTTGAGCTGGACAGTCTGTCCTGGTTTTCTGTAGCTACACTGTAGAACAGAACCTCCCCATGGGCCTGCGATTTGGACAGTGGCTGAAAAACATTGATAATCATTTCAAAATGGGATTCCCACTGGAAGGCGTTTGCACACTTACTTTCTAATCTTTTCTGTCCCTCAAATGCCTACACACACACATGTGCACCCACCAACAAATTACCACAACTTAATAGAGAAAACAACCCCCTAACCCAGCCTTTCGCCAGGCTGTCTTCTCTAAAGCTGAGCAGAGAGCAGGCTCCCGAGGGCTGAGCCCCTCCTAATGTGGCCACAGAAGAGGGAGCAAGGCAGGAATCCAGAGAACAGGGGGCTCTCTAGCCAGGACTTAAAAGAGACTGAGTGGATACTGAGGCGAGAAACCATCCATGAGCCCCGGCAGAGGGCCCCCAACTCCTGTCCTCCCCCCTCCCCCCCAGCTGTGCACCCCCTTCCCCAGGGCCCACGGTCCCTCCCAGAAAATTCCCCAGCTGCAGAGAATTCCCTACTCACCTAGTCCCAAGCCCACTCCCAGGGCCTGTCCCTCAGTCCTACCTTCCCAAGGACCGATGGTGCCCCCTAGACCTGAGACAGGGTGGACAGAACATGGACATACGGAGTGGCATGTCCACACGCGTGCACACAGGGCTCGTGGCGGAGGGGCCAAAGGGAGGTGGGAAGAGAGCGGGTGGGTGTGGCTGGGGCCAGCGCTCTCAGGGTGGCCAAGCGTTGGTATCAACTGCTGGGGACCTGAGAGCTCCGAACACAAACCTGGCCTTCTGGGTGGCCATGGGCATATTCGTCAAGGTCAAAGGCACCATAGAGGTTATATTACAGTGTTTTAGCTTGACTCATAAATTTAAACAGACATGCTGTGACTACTCAAATAACCGTAACTTTGAAGTATGGCTATAAACGTGCTTCTCCAGTTACACTTGTGGGGTCACGCTGGACTTCAGCTTGGCCCAAAGAACCCCACCTCAGAGGCCTGAGTGACTCCCTGCTTTTAATGAAATTCCTTCGTTGAAATTACCTAACCACATCCTTAGAGGAAAGAATGCACTCAATCACCTCCTTTCTTAACAGCATGGTCTGCAAAACAGTTGTTTTGCCAATTAAATGGTAATGGGAACGTTTGCACAAGCATCATTGTACAGGCCCTCTGGGCGGGCCACTGACCAGGGAAAACATGTTGTGACTCCCGGGCTCGGCCTCCACCAGATGAGCACCTTGGGACAATGGACCTCATCCTCACTCCCAAGCCCCCCCCCCAGGGCCCTCCATAAGCTTCCTGGGGAGCTCGACTCCTCTTTCCTGGTCTACTCCCTTGCACACAGCCCTTTCCATGAACTATCTGCTGGGTCTTGCACTGAGGTCAGTGCTCATTTCTCCCACATTGAGCCTCAAGGACCTGGCATTCAAAGTCTGATAACACTCATGTCCTGGGGCTGCACAAGTTGGAGGGGGCCCAGAGTAGAAGCTACAGAGAGGCAGGTTCTGACAATGAGAAAGGTCATCTGTGCAGTGGGCTGTCAAGGTCAAGGACAGAACCGTGCAAGCATTAGCCACATAGGTGTGGAGTGGGGCCCCCCGCTGGGCGATGCCTGTCGCATTCATGGTAAGGACCCTCCCTAAGTTCCCTACGTTGGAAGACTGCAGCCAAGTCCGCTTTGTTTCCCGGTGAAGGACACGGCCACAGAAAGCTGGCCTTCTGAATCGGTGCGTCTCACCTTCCAGAATAAAGTGACATTACAAGATCCCAGCGTTGACCTCACGCTTCTCCAGACATCAGGAGCCTTAGAGGGAGCTGAAACGAACCAAGGAAAGGTCCTGGGTCACCATGTGAATGCAGAGCCACACATTCCAGCTTCCAGTGACGGCGGCTCTCCGTGAGGCTTCTCTCTCACTCTTTGTGACGTTTCTGCCCATTATCCATGGCCACCCTGTTCATGCTTCACTAGGCACACAGAGTAGGTGCTTAACAAAAGGTCTGCTGTATCTGAATAGGACGCCACCCTGGAAGCCCTTTATGAACACCAAGCTCAGCTTCTGGAAGCCACCAAAGAATTTTGGAATCATTTTGTCCGTTCAGGCCAATTCTAGGGGCTTATTGAGGTAAATCCCCACACTGGCTGGGCTCTACTGAAGCAGATTTTAATTTGCTAAAGGAGCCGCTAGAGAAGCCAACATTAAATCAAAATCTTACTGAAATACTCAGGCCCAATAGGGGCCCCCAAGGTCAATGCAAAATCTTAGCTGGTTCATAAGTTGGTGTTTTAAGAAGAGAGCACGGTGGCACAGTCAATAGTGCTTCACATATATGTCAACATCATTTCCACCCCAGTGTCATCTGTGATTACACTGAAGTGTGATTATAATGCACACAAGCTCAAGCTTTCCAGCATTCGCCAAAGTGCTCTCAGACGTTAAAAAGCAACGTATGAATTCACCATCAGTAGGTTCGTCTAATTTCTCGTCATCATCAAAAGCTAAGTGTTTTCAGGTTTATTAGACTATAATCTAAAAGAAACAGTTCACTAAAATCTCTATCCTTTTGCCATTTTCCTTTAGCACTTAAGTTTAATTAAGTTAAATGTTGGAATAAATTTTCAAAAACCAAGCATAAAAAGCAGCCTTACTCAGGTACACATTCTTTAATAAAATACAACTGAGGAATATGCCATATTATTCTCAGGGCTTTCTGCAGCGGGGGACCCTTGAGGAATCCACAGAGCTAGGAAAAATTATCAGGGTCCCGGGGAGCATGAGGATGGGCAGGCTGGGCAGGAACCCCAGACACGACGAGGAGGCCTGCTGAGCGTGACCAGTGACCAACCCCGTGCGTAAATTCTGACACAGGCAGTGCCATCCCCACCCGCCTCAATTAGAGTCGCTGCTTTAAAATGAGCCTCCTTGCCGAAACCGGTTTGGCTCAGTGGATAGAGCGTCGGCCTGTGGACTGAAAGGTCCCAGGTTCGATTCCGGTCAAGGGCATGTACCTGGGTTGCGGGCACATCCCCAGTAGGAGATGTGCAGGAGGCAGCTGATCAATGTTTCTAACTCTCTATCTCTCTCCCTTCCTCTCTGTAAAAAATCAATAAAAATATAAAAAATAAATAAATAAAATAAAATAAAATGAGCCTCCTCAGGTGAAACAGAAAGAGCTGCCTGCCTACAAACACGAACAATAAGATGGACTAAAATAAATACATGCAGTCCTTCCTCTGGCCCTAAAATAGCAGGTCTCAAGGTTGCAGTAACAACAGCAGGAGACAGAACTTGCGGAATCCAGCTCTGGGTGAGGGCGGGCTCTGCAGTCAGCCTGCCTGGCTGCGAGGTGCAGCCACAGCCCAGTCACTGGCCAGGCCAGTTCATTATCCTCTGAGCCTCAGTGTCTCCGCATCTATAAGGTAAGGATAGCAATAGTGCCGACTGCATGTTGTGAGGGTTAAAAGAGAAACACATTGATAGCACTTTGAGCTGTGTCTGGCACCTGCTACATACTCAATAAATGTCAGCCATTATTATTATTATTATTATTATTATTATTATTATTATTATTATTATTGTTACTAGAGGCCCAGTGCATGAAATTTGTGCACAGGTCAGCAATCAGGGCCATTCGGGGCCTTCCTTCCCCCAGCTGCCTGCTGGGGCCTTCCTTTGTTCTGCACCGCCCCCTGGTGGTCAGCGCATGTCGTAGCCAGCGGTCGAACTCCTGGTGAGTCGAACTCCCGAGGGGACAATTTGCCTTTTATTATATAGGACTATTATTACTACTATTTCTCATCCATTCATTAACTTTGCAAACTAGGCAAGTCTCTTCATACTATGGGCCCAAGTTGCTTCATCAGTAAACTGGGCAATGGTAGTACTTTATTATCTTGAAGTAGGGCTGGGCCATCTAGTCTGCTGAGGCCTATTGGAGCTCTAACACATAGTCGTTTGGAGAAAAACTCTCTGATTTGGAATATTGAGGAAACAGCCCCTGAGGGCATGACAGAGGGGGCTCACGGTTTGCTGTTGCTGAACCAATGACTTATCAATCACAATCAAGTTTCCAAATATCATTATATTTCCAAAGTTGGCCTAGAGTTATTTGGCATGAGACCAATGCTTTCCTTGGCATGGATGCTATGTTTGCTAGTCCTGAGTTAAAAGTCCTTACTAATTAACACAGCCCCAAGTCCAGCGGGAATCCAGCAATGCCAGGAGCTTAGAAACCACTTTCGCGAAAACAAAGATGAGAGAGAAAATAGAGAGTAGAAATAACACTGGTGGCAAATGTTCCAAGCGGATGTCTTCCCACTCATATCTCATTAGCCATTTAATTCAGCTTCTTTATCTTTTTTCTTTTTAAAAAATATATTTTTATTGACTTCAGAGAGGATGGGAGAGGGAAAGAGAGATAGAAACATCAATGATAAGAGAGAATCATTGATCGGCTGCCTCCTACATGGGCCCCACTGGGGATTAAGCCCGCAACCCGGGCATGTGCCCTTGACCAGAATTGAACCTGGGACCCTCCAGTCCACAGGCCGACACTCTACCCACTGAGCCAAACCAGCGAGGGCCGGCTTCTTTTTCTTTTTGAAGATAGCACCCAGCCTCTTTTGTAGTATTTCCCCCTTAGTTTTTGGTACAAACTAGAGCTCTCAGAGAAGACAGCCACCTCCCATCAGTCAGTCTAGATCCCTGCGTGAAATGCCAGGGATTGGAGCGTACCAGCTTGGAGTGTGCTGAAGTTCTGGCCAGCCCATTCACTCCATTTCCAGAAGTGCTTGGCAGCACAGCGCACTCGGGCCGCATACTCTGTGGCGGGGGCCAGGCCGCTGAAGAAGTACTGACCGTCCACCTGGCTGGAAGCATTGTGCTGCTTGATGAAAAAGAAGATCGGTGAGCGCTCCCCACTACAAAGCCCAATCCCAGCACGGCACAGCCTGAGCTGGGGTAAGTCTAGTTCTTCGGGAAGAAAAATCTCTACGGCCCCCGTCTGAAAGTCTACAGTGAATTTTCTGGACCTTTTTCTACCCTGAAAACCCACACCATTGGAACCCACAGAGAAATGAGAGTGCCGAGAGATTTTGCTCCTCTGGCCCTCTGATCTGGGCATCAAGGGGTTTCTGAAAATAGAGTGGTAAGCAGTGTCCTTACTTGTATCGCTCTTCCTTCGCCATGGAGTTCAACCTGACACAAAAACGTGGAAAAATTCCCCAGGGAATGGACCTTCCAGGTCATGGTGGCATTTGTGGTGCTTACACTTTCAAATAACACATTAAAGGGAGTCATTGGGTGAACTGCCAAAAAAAAAAAGGGGGTTGGGGGGAGAATAAGGACACAAAGTAAAAAGAGTTCAAGCACAGATCCAAAAGACTGGTAAATAAGTGGTTCGTTTCCTCCTTTATTTATTCAGTAAGTAGTTTTGTTTATTTTTGAGAAAATGGCAAACAAAACCAGACTTACAGCCAGGATGGAGTAAGCCAACTGCCACCCTTCTCTCTCACTGATTACATTAGAAATTCTGAACAAAATACAAAAAGAAACTACCTGAGGACCCCTAAAATTAAATAAATCGGGCAGATGGAGGAGGGGTGCCTGAACTTGAAGAAGCAGCCCATGGGGAGGACGTAACAGAACCCAGAGTCTAACCAAAATAGGAAACCGGAATGAGAAGAATTACAGAACTGACATGAAGTAAGGCATTGTCACCGCCCTCGTTGTGAGGTTGAGCGGTAAGCTCATGGGTGCTTATTACATTATCAAAACCGACCAGTAACAGGGGGCCGTGGGCCACACATGCATCCACGAAGAGAGCTATAAATGGTAACTTTTGCTTAGGATGTGAATTAGGCAAAGACCTGCTGCACATTCACCGCCCCGCACCTCCCCCACCCCCCTCTCGTGTGCCAAACAAAGACACGGCCACGGCAGCTCTAGCCTCACCTCGGTGCGCCAGGTTGAAGAGAAGATTGACACTCCTCTTCCTGAAGTAGTTTTCAGCTATGAGTGTGAAGTTATACATTTGTGAGTCTTGAGCTACTTGCCAAGTACACCAGTTTTTTTGTTCACAGGATTTCTTTTTCCCAGAAAATCTTAAAAACAAAAACACAATTTCAGGGGTTACGCTCTGGTCAATGAGGAAGTGCATCCCGGTCTCCCTCGGGGATGCTCAGTGGCTTTAAACCATGTTCCACATGAGCTCATCCATCCATCATCAGCCAACGCTGATGACGAAAATACTGTTTCAGCAAGTTTGATTTCTGTGGTGAGATGTGGGACGGTGAGTCACCGACTCCCCCTCGCAGTTGGGGAAGACCTCTCCTTCATTTCCTTTGGATATTCTTAATAAGTTGGAAATGAGGTAGGCGCAGCTGGAACTCTAATTTAAAAAGATGGAAGTATCTTCACGTCAAGATGAACCAACCATTCATGGTCTGTCTTGTCGTTTTGATGCTACACTTTCCTTTGATGAAACTCGGGTTGGACGCGCTGTGTACTGCGTCCAGCTAAGAGCTCCTAGGGCTGTCAGGGCGGTTTTAAAATATCTGTTCAAATTTTCGCAACATCTAAACGTGGCCTTTGTTGTGTTGTCACCAGGACTCAAACGAGGACGAGCCTGTCAAGAATGTAACACGTTCACTTACGATTCAAATAAAGCGTAGCGTTGGGAGGGGTATTTCCACACGTCAGTGTCGCTCCCAGGATCCCAAGTGCAGTTCAAAGTCCCAAAGTCCCGAGTCTCACAAGAAAAGCCCTTGGGCTCCTCAAGTACTTCTGTCCACCGGAAGGAAAGACAGACGAAAGGCCTCGTGAAATCAAAGGCCAACACAATGCACATCTCTGCTTGGGGTCTGACAGCGAAAGGGTCCCTTGCATGGATGTGTCCCATGTGCACGCATGTTGGCCCGTCTCCCCCCCCGCCCCCACCCCACCCCCCTGCCCAGTGCTTTTCCGCGCATCATGGTGGCCGGCATGCTGCTTGCTCAGCCCCGGTGTGTTTGCTGGATGTTGTACACCCAGTGCCTGCTGGTGGGCGCTCTGAGTGCTGCTCAGCAACAGGGCGAGCCAGTGAAAAAATGAAAGAACCAAGTCAGAGTTGCCTGGGGCTGCATTTCCGAAGCTGTGGCTGACAGAGAGCCTGGGGGTTATGCGTGGGCTGCCAGGAAGTCGGTCAGATTTGGGGAACCTGCTACCCTCAGCAGCGGGGAGCTGGGAGCGCCAGAATGGTGCTGACCGAAGAGGCCAGGCCAAGGAGCACAAACCAAGTGCCTGGGAGCCCGGGGAGGCCCTTCGTCAGGGAAGCAGCGAGGGCACAGTTGCAGATCTTGCCCTGATGTGCAGGGAAGGGCCGTCTCAAGACAGAACAGAGGAGCCCCGGGACAGGACGGGTGCACACAGAGCTACAGAAAACCCCAGTGCTCCCTCCCCACCACGGCCACCCACGGGGGTGATGGAAGTGATGGCCTCCTGTGCTGAGTCCCTACTGTGTGCAGCTAGTAGCGCAGGGCGAGCCCCGTCCACATTCATTAATCCTCACAACAGCGGTCATCGTCCCCCTTCCCCAGGGGCAGACACCAGCTCAGAGACTCTAAGAAATGTGTCCACCTGGCAGGCCCAGCCCGGGAGAGAGTCAGCCCAGGTGCCCGGACCCCAACCCTGGCTGCCCCTTGGGGCGAAGGCAACGCGGGACATTTCCAGGTCATGACCTGAACTTTCTCCCCTTAATACTCCTGGTTTCTAGGCATCAAATTGCCAGCAGGGACCAGGCATCGACAGGAAATCCTGCTGGGATTGCTCCAGGGTTTCCTCCCTGAGTCCCTCCTGGAAGACTTGGGAGGTCAGAGGAAACGACCATGAGTGGAAATGTGAACTGTGTTCTGGTGAAGGGGCCCCTCGGTTCCTTAGGAAGCGGGAAGAGGGCAGGGAGAAGGCGCATGCTTACTGGAGACAAAGAGAACCGTGCCCGGTTCGGCGCCGGTTATGATGTCTGGGTCGTTCTCACAGTAGAGGTTTGACCCCCAGGTACTAATGAAGGAAACATTCGTCAAGGTGAACACAGACACGTGTGTGTCCAGCTGCTCTCTGGGGATCCGTTGGCCATGCAAGAGACAGGATACGTTACTCTCATTGTGCCTAGAAACGTAACAGATGGTGACATTGGATCCCTCCTCCACCAGCTTATCTATAGGGAAAATATGCGGCGGGCCTTGTCCAAGCAAACTCTGAGCTGCAAGAGAGGAGAAGACATCTCGGTGAGAAAGAGACTCAGAATCCAAACAGCCCCTCCCGTCTCACTCTCCACAGGCAACTTTAGCTGCTTCCACCATCTGGAGAAAATAGGGGCCTCGCTCTCCGCAGCAAACCCATGAACATGGGTGCACAAAACACAGTCCTGTGTGCCAGCTCCCAGTGTCACGCCAACACGCGGCTGTTGTCCAGACCCCTTCATGTGGCCTCTGAGGATGGCTGGGTCATTGCTAGTGGGGGGTGACCATGGCCTGCTCCGTGGACCCCAGCCACGTGGGAGGCCCTGTCTTGAGTGATTTTCCATCATCTCAGGTCATCTTCCCCCTTCACAACCATAGGTCAGGCAGGACTGAGCCCAAGTTCACTCGAGTGGCAAAGCCACAGTCACACACGCTAGGTCTGGCCAGCTCCACAGCCGCATCCTGCACAAATATTATTACATTAAACCCTTTCACTCTTTCATCACCTTGCTTCTTTCTTTTTTCTTAAACATTTATTTTTATTTATTTCAGAGAGGAAAGGAGAGAGAGATAGAAACATCAATGATGAGAGAGAATCATTGATCGGCTGCCTCCTGCACACCCCCTATTGGAGATCGAGCCCACAACCCAGGCATGTGCCCTTGGCCAGAATCGAACCTGGGACTTTTCAGTCCGCAGGCCGACGCTCTATCCACTGAGCCAAACCAGCTAGGGCATCACCTTGCTTCTTACCATCCACTTTCACCCACGAGCTCCAGCTGCTCCAGACCCTCTGCTGGGCGGCCCAGGTGTCATCCTCCTTCCCCCGTATCCTTACAAAGTGCGTCGCACATTCCAGAGGCAGCTCGGATTCCCATGTCCAGTGCAGGGTCTGGTTCTGCTGCACAGTGGTGCTATAGTTCTCCTGGAAGTCAAGAGAAACCGTTGGGAACACAGCCATGCTGTCCCTGCAACTCCATAGCATGAGCCAGGACGGGCCATCCTTCCCAGCCAGCTCCCCATGCTCTGATGACTCAGCGAGGAACCGGCCAGAGCCTCTTGCTTCTCAAAGACTCGGCTCCCACCACTCTGGGCCTCCAATTCCAGGGGGTCCGAGTGGAGCAGGTTAAAGGAAATGGAAGCAACTCATTCTCAAGGGAAGAGACCAGAGATGAAGGTGCTCAAAGTTCTGGTCACACAGGACCTGCTAAGAAAAGTCTTGCCAGCTGGTAGAGAATTACTTGAGTCCTGCTTTTAAAAGTAAGCAAGATTGATGGGTATGATGTTATGTTCAATTTTAGCCAGGGCCTGATCAGGTCAGACAAGTCTCAGTAGAGAAAGCCATTCTCATGGTGCCGGGAGTTCAAAGGTCTCCCAGAGGTCAACAGATGGCTCCCCATGTCTACCTTAGTTTTTTTGTCTCTTTTCTTCACAGAGATGGTGGCCACAGGGACCATATCCCCTCCCTCAAGCTCCATCTGTCAGAATCTTAGTTCCCAGAGATGTCAACCACCCAGGACCGGCTCATACCGTTCCCTGGGAAGCTCATCCACGCAGAACTGCAGTTTGGTCATCCTGTACAGCTTTAGTCTTCAGCTTCCTAAGACACTGGGACTTTATTCTCTAACTAGAGGCCCGGTGCATGAAAATTCATGCACTGGAGGGGGGTCCCTCAGCCTGGCCTGCCCTCTCTCACAGTCCAGGAACCCTCAGGGGCAGGAGGCGACCTGGCAATCAGGGGAAGGCAACGCCCCATCACACTTCTGTTGCTGCCACTGCCGGCAGCGCAAGCCTCGGCCGGCCCTGGTTACCTAAGCCTTGGGTGGCCCTGGGCAACTGGGCAGCCATGATCTAAGGCTTGCCTGTGCCTTGGGCCGGCCCTGGTTACCTGAGCCTCAGGCGGTCCTGGGCGGCTGGGGGGGCTGAGGGTACTTGGGGACTCTGAAGGCAGGCACACAGAGCGGCACCCTCCATCTTTGAGGGCGTGGCAGTCAACTAGCATATTCCCTCCTTATTGGCTGTGGACTCTGCCATACTTTAGGGCAGGGCAGTCAATTAGCATATTCCTTCCTTATTGGCTGTGGACTCCGCCATCTTTGAGGGCAGGGCAGTCAATTAGCATATTCCCTCCTTATTGACTGTGAGCGCTGCCATCTTTGTGATCATGTGAGGCTCAATTAGCATATTCCCTCTTTATTAGATAGGATTCTCTAGGCTTCCATAGCTCCTCTACATCTCACCCATCATTCCAGGCTGCCTACAATCTACTTTGACCCCCCTCTCCCTGCAGGAATCTTCTCGGGACACAGCAGCCCACCCCCATTCTGCAATAACTCGCTGTTTTCCCACCTCCGGGTGGGCTCATCGCCCCCATGCTCCCTCTGCCCTGGAAGAAGCCCCCCTCTCCTTCAGGAAGCCTTCCATGCTCTTTCCTCTGGTTCCCTCCCCGCCTGCTCTCCTGAAGCCGCCCAGCGCACCATGTGCAGCTGCTGGCATTCCACCTGTGGCTGTGCTCCTGACTCATGGCCCCAAGAGAGAGGGACCGTGGGGCAATCTTCACACCCCACAGCTCCAGGCACCCATGCAGTGGGCTCTCCAGAAACCTGCATTCTGGCCCCACAGCTGGGAGATGGAGGCAACAAACCACTGGCGCTCCCTGGGGAAACTGAGTCTGCATCCAGGGCGCTAAGGGCCAATGGCAACCCCCACAGTGAGGGGGTAGGCAATGCGCACGCATGTCGCACAGCCTGGAGTTGGCAAATGTTAAAGCCTTCCCTCCCCCGGAGCCCCTCCCTTCCTGGATGCTACCTTTGCACACCTCAGTCACCTGGGCGCACCTGACCGCGCCCCTGATCAATGCAAAACTCCGACGTGTACGTCGTTTATATTTTACTCTGTGTGTGGCATCCCTTCATTTCTAGATTATAAAACAATGTTGTTAAGTACCAGTTTAGTGGACCTGACCATTAATCACTGTTTCATCTGAGAAGTTCAAGTACATTTTGCTTCAATATTGTTCAATGTACAAAGAAAAGGAACTGTACCCATCATGGTGACCTTTCTATAATATCAACAAGCCACAAACTGGGTCTCCCCTCCTGCATCTCTCTCATATTTGGCCCCTCTGCCTCCACTGCCCCCACCCCCAGGCGCCTCTCCTCTGGACTGACCCCACAGCCTGCTGCTGGTCACACGTGGCCTCCTCCTGTTCCCCCACCTGCTCTCCACAGCACACGCAGAGGAGGCTTTTTAAACACTTCCAGTCAGATCCTGCCACTCCCATCTTTTCACTGACCTCGGGATAAAGACATTTTTTGGCTCAAACAGCCCTTCTTCCCAGTTGCTGGAAGTCAGACTGCACCCCAGCCTCACAGCACTGGTCAGCGACCCTCCCTTGGGCAGGTCACCCTTGTCGTGAGCTTGCCGGACCCTCGCCTTGAACAGCGCCCGGACCTGGGCCCACGGTCTAAGGCAGTGGTTCTCAACCTTCTGGCCCTTTAAATACAGCTCCGCATGTTGTGACCCAACCATAAAATTATTTTCGTTGCTACTTCATAACTGTAATGTTGCTACTGTTATGAGTCGTCATGTAAATATCTGATATGCAGGATGGTCTTAGGCGACCCCTGTGAAAGGGTCGTTCGACCGCCAAAGGGGTCACGACCCACAGGTTGAGAACCGCTGGTTTAAGGCCACGTGCTGAGTACCTCCCCGCCTGCCCCCCCCACCCCCTAATCCCCCGCTCATCAGCAGGCAGCGGCTTGGCTTCTCCCCGACACCATGCGTGGGCTCCGTCTAACCACACCGTGCTTTGTGGTGTTTACAGCCTTGGAAAGAGGAGAGAACGCTTTCCTTGAATGCATCAATCCTGTGATTTTTTTTTTAACGTGATGAATTGTGTTTGGGCTGTTTTCATGACCTGGTTAGTATGAGGTGGGAGGGTGGGAAGATGTGCTGATGTTGGGAGGTGAACAGCTCTCCGTAGACATGGCTAGTGTTATAATCAGAACACTAAACAGCTCTCACTGGGGGTAGAGTTATACACCTGCTGTCCATCTACGTCGACAGAGTCAGAACTATATTTCACTCAGACCTCAGATGCAACAGTGAATGAGGAAGGTCACTGGAGGCCTTAAAATGAGTGGCCTTCCTGCTTTCCTGATGGAGCTAGCCATCGGGACTCCTGGACCCCGGCCTCCCCGGCCCGAGAGGAGTGGCCCTGCACTGAGTAAGGGAGGTCCCAGTAACGACACGACCCATGTCTGCCTTTCTGCAGGCAGCTCCTCCGCGCCCCTCCAACGAGGAAACATGCCGCCGTCCTCCACCCCAGGACAATGCGTGAACGGGTGCGCCGCAGAGTATTAAGGCGCCCCAGACCACCCATGACCATTGAAAGAAACCAGACAAGTGCCCACTGCACTAGATGAGGAAGCATCAGGCAAAACGGACACAGCCATGATAGGAATCAGGACGAGCGAAAAATCCAACCAAGTAATTCAAAAGCGAAAGTGTGGCATCAGGGTTTTCCTCACTTAATTTGTTACAGGGAAAGCCACCGGTGATGTGACCAAGGCCACCATGATGAAGAGCTTTCCGGCCAGAACACGAAGGTGCCAGACTCATTCTTCCTTGCTGTCATGTCAGCACAGTGCAAGCAAAGACTGACTGGAAGCCACGCTGGCAAGAAAATGTTGCCAAAATTACATCTTGTTGACAAAGTCTCTGGTGGAACGGGAAGAAAGAAGGAAGAGGACTAAGCTGGTTGATCTTCATAGACAGGGAGTCAGTACTCACTGGGACCGACCCAACAGCCTTCTGAGGGGCCCCTCAGGACCAAAGAAATGAGCTGTTCATGCGTCCCATCCAACCTGCCCAACCAAACTGTCACATTACTTTGTCCCCAATCCTCTTCACTAAAAACACAGAAATGCGACTGTTTAGGAACACTGTTTTGCGTTGCTAACATGTTTCCATACTGGGATCTTCTGTATGTTATAAAAGAAAATTGGTGGCACCAGAAAAGGATTTTTAAAATATAGAGTCAAAACAAAACAAAACTTACCACCCAGATGACATTGGATTTTTTAATTCTACTGATCTCGATCTGAAAAGCCATTTTCAATTCCGGATGAGTCAGGTTGTGGACACTCCATTGTAGATGCAAACGCTGCTGTGCGGAACTGATGGACACATTCAGCGATAAAGGTTCGGACGAGACTGAAAGACCAAAGCGAGACACGAAATGACAGTGGGGGTGGGACTGGATAGCCACAGGTCAGTATTGTTCAGTATCCTCAGTGTTTCGCTTTGAAAGGCACAGCTCACGTGAGCATCCTAAAGTCAGACACCTTGAAAAGCTGGGAGTTTAGAAATCACCGGGAGATGAAGAAATTAAGACTTAGATGAATGAAACCATTTGCTCAACGATACACAGCAAGTTAATACATTGATAAACAGTGAAACAAATAATACAAACAATAAATAATTAAACAAATTGCACAGATTTATCTAACAATGGAACAATAAAGGACACTTCTTTGGACACTATAACTGGCTTGGAAATTCACAGCAAGGCTGAACAACAGGACTTGTTGCTATCAATTTCATATTTCTGGAAGTCAAAAATGAAAGCTTGTTTTGAAAGTCAGTATTTTGTTGTTCATTATATAGCTACAATGTGGGAAACAGCCCATCTTAATGCACAGAACTTAAAACACATCTGGCAAGAATTCACTGAACTTTCTGGATGAGAGCAGCATCCGCAACATATGAGGCATTTGGTGTGAAATAAAATAATCGTGACAAGGTTCCTTGCTCGAGGAATGAACCTATTGGAGAGACACAACTGACTCTTGAAATGAGAGATTTTCAAGGTGTCTGACTTTAGGATGTTTTTAATCCTTGTGGAGCCAATGGCACCAGAGAAAGCGGGGTGCATGCAAAATCCCCCATCTTTCTGAGCTCTTATTTCATTTTGCCTGTTTGTTGTTGTTGGTCTCACTCTAGATTCAAATTCCCTGAAGGACAGAGGTTGATGCTTATGCGTCTTTGGATGGACTCTTGTCCCCAGCACTTGGCACAGTGTCTTGCCCATAATGCACGTTGATCTCAAATGACAGAGATCCAGGATCTCCGCGAGGTCTCAAGTGCCTGACAAGCCATTCCTCACTAACACCTCCATGTGTCCTGCCTGGTGTTCTCTGCTCCCCGTGGCTGCTTCCCGAGGCCCGTGTTTGAGCACTGATGGAAGAGCGCTGTACAAGTCTGTTGTGTGTTTGTCTCCCCATAGACTGCGAGCTAAACGGGTGAGACCAAGGCTTACTCAGCTCAGTGAAACCAAGACCAATACCACACCTGTCCCAGCACAGGCATCAGTGACTGCCTGCTGAATGAGCCAGTTAACTACTGGTATCAGCTTTATTTCTGGAAACTCTAGCAAATTACTGGATGCTGTGTTAGACGGAAGGGGAAGTCCTAGATTGGCATATGCATCAGCAAGTATTGAGTGACTCAAATACTGGAGAGACATCAGTCAGTCCAAATAATTTGGTCAAAGGCCATCTAGGACTTCCTTGGGAAATAGTGGGGAAGGCCAAGGTCAAGTCGGAGAGCTAAAGGGATTTAGAGATTAAGTCCAATCCCATTGTTTTTCAGATGAGGAAATTGAGGTTAAAGCAAAAAAGGAAGTGACTTTCCCAAAACCGCACAACCTGACCAGAACCCAAGGCCCTTGGCCCTCGGCCCAGCGCTCTTTCCCTAGCGCTGCCCTGGAGTATTGCCAGAGAGGCAGGCTTGGGAATCAGACTGACTTGGTTCAGTCACAGCCCCTCCTCCCACCTTCCCATCCAGTTTCTCTGTCTGGCCCCGACACCACTTAAGGAAATAAACCATGGTCCATTCACAAGATGCAGCCATTTAATATAATGTTATTTCTAGAAGAATATTTAACCTCAAAGGTAACAACTCTCATTGTATGTTGTATTAATCATCTTAATAAGGATATGCTATATTAAAGTACATATACTCGTAAGTATACAGGGGTGGGCAAAAGTAGCCTACATCTATGAGTACATAAAACAGAGTTTATTTTTCTATTATTTATTCTTGTATTATATACTTTTCCATACAAAGAACTGTAAGCCTACTTTTGCCCACTGCTGTATAGAGTATATTTCCCCAGTATACATACTTATGCTATATACAATATATACTCTATACTCTATGTACTTTAATAAGTATATATTTAACATAAGTATATGTACTCTAATATTTACATATATACACACACACTTAAATACATACATATATATGTATATGCATACATACACACACACACACACACACACACACACACACACACACTTAAGTATAAATATCCCCAGTATAGACAGCATAATTTCACTTCTATAAAGAAGTCTGCACATTTACATCTTTATCTCTGTCTGTGCGTACATACACACAAGAGACTGGAAGAAAACCCAGCCAGAGGCTACCATCCTGGTCTCTGGTGATGCAGACGTGAGCCCGGGGCTAACGCAGGGAGGCCTGGCCCTGCTCCCTGGCTAGGAGAAGCTTCTTCATCTGAAATGGAGGCTCACACCTGAGCTGGTGGGTGGTCCCGTGGGAGGACACTAGCGTGAGTGGGGAGCCTTAGTAGGTACTTGGTCAGATGCAGCAGAAATGGAGGAAGGAATCCAAGTAGTGTAGGCGGGGACGAACACAGGATTACTTAGCAATTCAGGCATGCCTGGCTGAGAAAGCTGGAGGCAGAAACAAGGTGGGAGAGAAACAGGCAGGCGCATGTCTGGTCTAAACAACAGGAGCTGAGGGGGACAGAGAGCAGAGGTCTGGTGAGGAGAAGGCACACAGCAAATAGCCCTTGGGGCAGATAATGAGAATTCCCCGGGGAAGTGTGGTGCCGAAGGCTTGGCTACGCACCTGGGGTTCTCTGAGGTGGGACCCTGTGGCCAGCTGGGTCACCCTGAGATATTCCTGAGGTGGGGGAGGGGTGGACATACGACAGATAAAAAATCCTATTTCCTACCGTTCAGCTCCAGATTAGGGAAGACACCAACAGTCAAACGATGATTTTTAACAAGCCATGAAAGTGGCATTTTCCCATGTGCCCTGAAGCTGAAAGAAGTCAAGCCAGACCTAAAGAATCTCAGACAGAAAACTGAACTCTTATCAGAACAAAATCTCCTTTTCTAAAAATTTCCAAATATCTTTTCATGGAGTTTTAAGGGAAAATTGCAAAGTTCTATGGATGTTTCTCGCAAATGTCTTCTTCAAGAATCCACGGACAGGAGCTGTCTGGGTAGTTACAGAGAGCATGTGCCTTCCTCTGTCTTAGGAGGGAGTGCAGAGAAAAGTAAACACACGAACAGAACAGTTAGAGCTTTGTAAAACACAGGAGAAAGCAGCATACACTTTATAAACCAACGGAAACACTCTCAGCTCTAAGAATCCACCTTCAAACTGAAGTACCCACAAACATTTTAGAAGAATTGAATTCTTACTGACTTGGTTTATAAAGTTAATGTATTTCAAAATACCCTCCCTGGGGAAGCAGCTAAGCGATAAATGCTTTTCTTAAATCCACACAGAGCATTTCAGCATGAGCAGGGCTGTCTTGCAGCTCACAGCTTCTCAGTGAACGTGGCTGAGGGACCCACAGCGTGTTCTGACTTAGTGGCCCGCCCTGGGCAGTTTCCCCGCCTCTCCGCAGCAAGGTGCAGAAAGATCTCCCTGGTGATGGCCATTTTCAACGCATCAGCCATGAAGTTCTGCAGGGTTAGGTCTACTCGCAAATGCCCCCATGGCCAGGAGGTCAGGGTCGAAGGTGACTTATTAAGATTAAGTCATCAAGATCAGGAAGCTCGTGACTAAGGTACCTGTTGTTACGCACCAATTCCATGTAATTTCCAAAGAAAAAAGAATTGTGCAACTTTTCTCCAAGGCAGCCAATTACCTCCTTTTTCCTCTATGTGATTGTTCTCTCGACTGTGTTTTCCACTTACCTTCGCTCTGGTAAGCACTCAAAGGCAGCAATGCCAAGAGGAATGTTGCCTGAAAGACTGCCATGGGCGCCATAGGTTCTGGTTTCCTGAAAAAAACAAACCACAAGGAAAGGAAAGTTTATGTAATTTTGGCTTGTGCGAGTTTCTGTGAGCCAACTGTGGTAGAGGCTGGCATTAAAGTTGCCATTCTTCTTCCCTCCCTCTATCCACGCCCATTGTCACGTGACTCTGGATTCCCACTCAATAAGAAGGGCAGATGTCCCCACTCACGTGACTTGCTTTGGCCAGAATGAGGCCGAGTGATGGTGTGCTTTTGGAGCCTAGGCCTAAAGAGACCTATGTATTTCTGCTTGCTTTTTTCCATTTCCACCTTTGGCACGAAAAGAACATTTCGGGGCTACCCCACTGGAGCCACGAGGAGAATGAGCAACCAGGAAGCAGAGCTGAGTCACCCCAGCTGGGCCAGTCCAGCCCAGCTCAGCCAGAGGCCCGCCACACCCAGCCACACCAGCTGATCCCAGACCGAGAGCAACGCTGTCTGTCACTCAGGCTCCGTGGCAGGAGCTAACTTATCCACCAACTTCTTCAAAGCAAGCCAAGGGTTGGTAAAAAAGGGCAAAGAAGCCCTAGCCAGTTTGGCTCAGTGGGTAGAGCGTCGGCCTTCGGACTGCAGGGTCCCGGGTTTGATTCCAGTCAAGGATGCATGCCCGGGTTGCGGGCTCAATCCCCAGTAGGGGGCGTGCAGGAGGCAGCCAATCAATGATTCTCTCTCATCATTGATGTTTCTAACACTCTCTCCCTCTCCCTTCCTCTCTGAAATCAATAAAAATCTATTTTTTTACAAAAAGAAGGGCAAAGCAAGGAAACAGAAGTTAAATATAAAAGACCGACTGATTAGAAAGAGAACAAAGTCCAGTCTCAACAGGGCTGAATGTGAATTACTTTTCAGGAACTCATCGTCCCTCTTCCCCGTCTCCCTCAGTAAAGTCACACCTGGGAAGAGTGAACACATTCCACCCACGGGGACTGCGCTTCACTGTTCAAAACAAGTTCCCGTTCTCCTTGCCTTCGGAGAGGGTTTCAACCACCGGCCACAGAGTGTCCTGATTCACCAGGGCCTCTGACCACGGGGCAGTCGGGGGCACGAGAATGGGCCTGGATGACCCCGAGGGGCCAATGCGCTCTTAATTCAATCAGCTGTGTGTTAGGGGAAGCACCGGCTGTCGTTTTTCTACTTCAAATCTGACTCATCGCAGAGAGAAGCACTGGAACAGTGCAAGGTCAAAATTTGCCTCTGTCTGGCCACCTGGCTTTCGGCCAACCCTGGAGAGTCAATGAACCAGACCATCAATTCTCACTACCCACACTCTAGTTATTTTTTTAAATATATTTTATTGATTTCAGAGAGGAAGGGAGAGGGAGGGATAGAAACATCAATGATGAGAAAGAATCACTGATCAGCTGCCTCCTGCACGCCCCCTACTGGGGACGGAGCCCACAACTCAGACATGTACCCTGAAGGGGAATCGAACCATGACCCCCAGGTTCATAGGTCGACAACGCTCAACCACTGAGCAGCACCGGCCGGGCTCAAGTTATTTTTTAATAGTATTTACAGGTAAATGGGATTGACAGTGGAGACAGGAAGAAGGTAAACCCAACATTAAATGACTCTACTGCAGCCAAACCTGCCTACAGGTGAGCTGAGCCCAATTGCAACGGAAGCGGAAGTCTGCAGACGACAACCTTTGCTCACATTCTTTGAAGCATGGCTCTCTGCTACTTGCACTTGGCCAACAGGTCACCCACACCTCTCTAAAGTCTGCACTTACAACTTCAGATAGGTTCCTATTGCAACTGGATATAGGTCAGGGAGGCGAGGACTCATGTCAGAGAAACAGTTTCTGCTGAGAACCGAAGGGAAGCCCAGGAACATGCCAAGGAGAAGTGTGTGGCATCACCCAGGGCGCAGGCGCCCCCACCACCCCCGCAAGGAAGTCTCACCCGTGAATTTCCAGGCGGAGGATTCAGGAGGTGACAGGCACACAGCCCCATGTCCTCCGCGTGAAAGGCCTGTTTAGCGTGTTTACAAAAAGGCGGCGTCTGCCAGAGCCGATATTTTACATGTTGCAAAATTAAGTCACAGGGGAGAGAAATGGAAAACCCAAAGTTAGAAGCTGCCTCCCCATTAAGGGTAAGCAGAAATTAAAGAATAAAAGCTGTCATAAAGCACAAGTGAAGTATGTAAGTACTGAGGAAGGACGCATTTCCGTGGTCTGGGTGTGGTGGCAAAACCCGGGAACCACCGGGACTGTGTTGCCTGAAGGCCTGCCTCTCCCGCGGCTCACAGGCAGCAGGTTGGGCCTGGGGGCAGCTCGGCACAGGAAATGCCCTGTGAATGGTTTTCCCAGCAGCACAGGGGCTCACACAGTGGGACAAACACAGCCCTCCCCGGCTCAGAGCGGGCTGCTTACAAGTCCCAGGTGACTGACTGCACAACCCACGCGGCCCCCTCCACGCCTCGTGCATAAATCCTCCCGAGTTCTCAGTTCAGAGGGCCCAGCTGTTTGCTGATGGGCCCCTGACCAACAGGGAAAAGCCTAGAGTGAGGGAGCGACCTGTGCAAAGATCCTGGGGCAGGCGAGGGCTTGGCAGTGTGGAGGGCGGAGGAGCCAGGCCTGGGAGTAAGCAAGGAGGGGCGGGGCAGGGGGGAAGCTGGGGCCCGCAGAGAGGAGAGAAACCAGAGAGACATTTCTGACACTGAGGCTTCTACTCTGGGAAAGAGGGCACCACGCGGCACCTCATGCTCCACCTCACAGGGGCAGGGAAGCTGGGAGAGAGAAGGGACTGCGGGCTGAGGGCAGAGGCAGGGAGGGCAGGGAGGGGCACAGCAGCAGTCCGGGAAAACACGCTGGCTGAGACCAGGGTGATGGCAGTGGTGGGAATCCCAAAGGGATGGCAAGACAGAGCTGGCAGGGCGTGGTGGTGACAACGTGAGCCAGCATTCGCCGAGCCCCTGGGAGAATGGAATGACAGGAATGGAGAAGCAGAAGAGACTCAGTGGGCTGTGTCAGGGGCTCCACTGCGACATGGAGATGGAGATAGACATCAAGGAGTGAGCTGATACACGCTAGGAGTTCCTGGGAAGGGTCCTGGCCCGGTATAAATGCAGGTGCCCTCAGGGCATACATAGAGCCAAGAGAGGGAGTGCAGACAGAAAAGAGAGGACCCAGCACGGAGTCCAGGGACATCCCACACCCTATTCTACACCCCCTCATGCAGATCAAAACGAAAATCCAGAATTAGTCCTGGCTTTCCTGCATCGCCTCAAGGGCACGGGCTGTGTGTTGGGATAAGCTGGCCAGCTCCTTCAGCAGCAGGTGCACCCTCCTGGGTCAGGTACAGCCTCCTGCGTCAGGTGCACCCTCCTGCATCAGGTGCACCCTCCTGGGTCAGGTACACCCTCCTGCGTCAGGTACACCCTCCTGGGTCAGGTACACCCTCCTGGGTCAGGTGCACCCTCCTGCGTCAGGTGCACCCTCCTGGGTCAGGTGCACCCTCCTGCGTCAGGTGCACCCTCCTGGGTCAGGTGCACCCTCCTGGGTCAGGTACACCCCCCTGCGTCAGGTGCACCCCCCTGGGTCAGGTACACCCCCCTGGGTCAGGTACACCCCCCTGGGTCAGGTACACCCTCCTGGGTCAGGTACAGCCTCCTGGGTCAGGTACAGCCTCCTGGGTCAGGTACAGCCTCCTGCATCAGGTATACCCTCCTGGGTCAGGTACACCCTCCTGGGTCAGGTACAGCCTCCTGCATCAGGTATACCCTCCTGGGTCAGGTACAGCCTCCTGTGTCAGGTACAGCCTCCTGCGTCAGGTACAGCCTCCTGGGTCAGGTACAGCCTCCTGTGTCAGGTGCACCCTCCTGGGTCAGGTACAGCCTCCTGTGTCAGGTACAGCCTCCTGCGTCAGGTACACCCTCCTGGGTCAGGTACAGCCTCCTGGGTCAGGTACAGCCTCCTGCGTCAGGTACAGCCTCCTGGGTCAGGTACAGCCTCCTGTGTCAGGTGCACCCTCCTGGGTCAGGTAACCCTCCTGCGTCAGGTACAGCCTCCTGCGTCAGGTACAGCCTCCTGCCAGGTACACCCTCCTGCGTCAGGTACAGCCTCCTGCCAGGTACAGCCTCCTGCGTCAGGTACAGCCTCCTGCATCAGGTACACCCTCCTGCGTCAGGTACACCCAGTGGGGGCTGGTTTTCCCGCTGAAGCTCTGCCTTTGACATGGAAAAGGCCACCCAGGCTTTCTCTCCCCACGGCTCTCAGTGAGGAGTGTGCACTTCGATTTCCAATAAGAAGTCGGGGAAGCATGAAGTAGCAGAATTCAAAAAGGAAAAACGCTTTCCTGCCTCACCCACACTCCTTGGTCCTTCCCCAAACCCATTCTTTGTTTCTATTTTTCAGATTGTCGTTCCCAGCTAGACTATGAGCAGCTGGAGTTTATTACCCCCTGTCTGTCACAGTCCCACAACGCATTCGCTGCCCAGAAATAGTTGATAAAAGAATAAAAACATGTACAATTGTCTCACATTCTCTCCTTACTTCCCATTTTAATTAAAATAGATGATTTTTCAGGCCCTTCTACGTTTTCTGTGGCCAACTACTGTCTGCTTCATAGTCTCTCGCTGACATTCCTTCTCCGCGGGGAAACGGAGAGGAGAGAGAAGAAAAGCTGCCCACCCGTTTTGTAGAGCTTCTCATCCAAACCTTGTTTCTCTGCGCCGAGACGATGCTGCGGACTGTCTGTCAGTGTAAACACGACCTGCGTGATATAGCCCGGCTTTGGAGAGGGCATGGCCGGCTCTTCTGCACCAGCACTTCTCGCTCTGTCCTTACAGAAACAGTTATTCCTGGGAAGCATCCCCAGTGCAGAAAATGCCCGGGAGAAGCATGACCGGTCGTTTGCTTCCCAAGCGCCCGGGTGTGTTGCTAAACTCCACGCTGGCCGGGTGCCCGATGATGTCATGCGCCAAGACTGTGTGAAAGAAAGAGCTACGCTGTTCACCCAGCGCAGGTGCGGACGTGCACCTGGTGAAAGAACCACGGGAATGTCTATCCGACCACAGTATGAAACCCAGGAGAGAGACACAAATAGAGATGGCCACACTGATTACGTACTTTAAAAATGCTAGGGCTCCAACTGGACCGACACCCAGCAGAACAGGAGTTCCAATATTTAGGGTGAAGGGTCCCCATCCCTACTATGTAAGGAGTCGTTAGAAATCAAAAGAAAAAAAACAAGCAACCCTGTAGAAAACCTGGCAAAGAGCATGCGCGTGTAATTTATAAAACAGAAGGAAATATTAAGAACCAAAGGAGAAGAAAGAAAAACTGGACACTATCACTAATAATTAAATAAATTAAAATTGAAACAGCAATTGTGTATGTCTCTGTGTAGTGTCCTATTGGGAAGGTCAAAAAAGTTCTTGAAATCTAGCGTTGGTTAGCGTTTGAAGAAGTAGGCATTGTTACTAATGATCAAAAAGTACAATTTTATCACTGTCAAAATGGCACTATCTAACAAAATTTCAGTATGCATTACCTTTGATTCAGAAATATTATTTCTGAAATTGTGTCCTATAGTGTGTGTGTGTGTTTGTGTGTGTGTGGTGTTCATGTATCTATACAAAAATATATTTTTTTAAATAATGTTCATTGTAGCATTTATGTTGAGAAAAAACAAACAACATCTAAATATCTATCAAAAGCAATGAGGAAATATAGTATAATAGAATCCTATATAATAAAAGCCTAGGTGGCATCATGCCCTTGCGCGACGCCCTCATGTGACGTCATCACAAGATGGCCACCACAAGATGGCCACACACACAGTGGAGGCAGGGCCCAGTGGCCACTCCGCACAGTGAGGCTGGGGATCCCACAGCTCTGCACGCTGCAGAGGAGACTGGTCCGGCAGAGGAGGCGGGTTGCGGCAGGAGAGGGCAGTTGTGGGTGATCAGGCCAGCAAGGGAGCAGTTAGGCATCAATAAGGCTGGCAGGGGAGCAGTTAGGGGGCAATCAGGTGCCAGGCATAAGCGGTTAGGGGGCAACCAGGCAGGCAGGCAAGTGGTTAGGAGCCAGCAATCTCAGATTGTGAGAGGGATGTCTGACTGCCGGGTCGCCTTAACCAGCAGTCAGACATCCCCTGAGGGGTCCCAGATTGAAGAGGAATCAGGCTGGGTTGAGGAACATCCCTCTGTGCATGAATTTCATGCACTGGGCCTCTAGTCTATACTAATAAAAGAGTAATATGCTAATAAAACCTGGAGACCTTCTGGACATCCTTCTAGATAAAGCGGGGGGCTTGGCCAGCCTGCAAACCACCCCCAAATGGCCCTCAGCCCCTCACCCAGGCCAGCCACGCCCCCAGTGGGGACCCCCACCTCAATGGGGCATGGCCAGCCTGCAAATGGCCCTCAGCCCCTCACCCAGGCCAGCACTGTCCAAAGTGGGGACCCTCACCCCAATGGGGGCGTGGCCAGCCTGCAAAGCCCCGGCGGCCCCTCACCCCAGGCCGGCCCCATCCCCCAGCAGGGACCCCCCACTCCGATCGGGGTGTGGCCAGCCTGAAAACCACCCCAGGCCTCTTGCCCTGGCCGGTCCTGCCCCCTGAGGGGACCTCCACCCTGATCCGGGATTCCCTTCAGGGCAGACCAGCCGGCCCCCACCTGTGCAGACCTCTATACTAATAAAAGTGTAATATGCTAATTAGACCAGACATCCTTCCAGACAAAACCATGGTGGCGGGGCCAAGGCAGAGGCAGTTAGGGGTGATCAGGCCATCAGGGGAGAGCAGTTAGGGGGATCAGGTTGGCAGGGGAGAGCAATTAGGGGCGATCAGGCCGGTGGGAGAGAACATTAAGGGGGATCAGGCTGGCAGGGGAGAGCAGTTAGGGGGATTAGGCTGGCAGGGGAGGGAAGTTAGGGGGATCAAGCTGGCAGGAAAGGGCAGGTAGGGGGAATCAGGCTGGTGGGGGAAGGCAGTTAGGGGGATCAGGTCAGCAGGGGAGAGCAGTTAAGGGGATCAGGCCAGCAGGCAGGTGAGCGGTTAGGAGCCAGCTGTCCCGGATTGTGAGAGGGATGTCCCCTGAGGGGTCCTGGATTAGAGAGGGTGCAGGCTGAGCTGAGGGACACCCCCACTCCTGTGCACAAATTTCGTGCACCAGGCCTCTAGTATAATATAATGTATAATTATTCATTTTTACAAAGGAATACTATGAAACTGTTACAAAGAATGGACTCATACATGAACTGACATGGAAGAATGTCCAAAGCATACCGAATGGAAAAGCAAGGTCCAGAAGGGTGTGCACAGGAAACCATCTCTGGAAGAGAAGCGTGGTGACTGCGCCGCTGTGCCGGGGAGCACCTTCGGGAGAACCCACTGCAGGAGCCCTGCTGACTCGGCCTCCGGGCTGCACAGCTGCACCATCTGCACACTCACACCAAGCCCTCGTCCCCCAGCTGCTTCCACTCAAGACAAGCCTTTTTGGCCCAACATAAGGGCTCTTCCAACCGCAACATTCAATCAAGGATTTCAGATCTAAGAGTAAAACTTGATGTTATATTTAGTGCTCTCACTAACCCTCTTTCCTTGGAGGATGGAGAGGAGGAGGAGAAAAGAAGGAAGAGAGGAAGAAAGGCAACAACTATAATGAAGTTCTGTAGCATATAACATTAAAAGAAAGCAATTTACAATTCCTGTACATCACACTTATCCTCATAGGAAATACTATTGCTACCAGAATAATCTTAACTATCAGGGAAAGACTATATACTCTAAGGGTGGACAAAAGAACAGGAGCACTGACATCACCCATGAGCCTGTTAAAAATGCAAATATTAGGTCAGATCTTAGGCCTACTGAACAAAAATCTGTACTTCAACAAGCTCCCCAAGCGATTTACTGAAGTTTGAGAAACATGATAGATTCAATATTTATGGCATACTTCTGTCTCCTGGGAGACTGTCAATCTATAGTGAAAAATGTTTACTGTTTCCTGCTATGGGAACAATCCCAGCTAGCACCTGGGAGGCAAGTTTCTGCCAGGCACTTTGCTGAGTGAGTTACCTGCATTTGTTCTCACAGCAGCCCTATGAAAGGGATTCCATCATTATCTCCACACACACATGAGGAAATTGAGGCTAAGGAAGGTTAAAGTAACTCTGACATAGGTTGGCATAATAACACAAACTTGAAACCAGGTGAGTCACTCCCCAAAGGGGAACCCCCCACATCGCACTGCTTCCTCCAGGCTTAGAGCTCATTCCAGAATGTACATGAAGGCATATCAAAATTACTAACAATTACAAACCCAAGAAAATACTAAGAAAAATTCCAACAGGATTTTATTAAACTTGACAAGCTATCTATAAAGTTTAATAAAAAGAGAAAATGTACAAGAATCATTTCTAAATTTTTTAAAATAGGTACAAATATAGGGTGTCCCCCAAAAAATGTATACACACCTTGAATAACTATAAAGGTAGTGTTTATTAAAAATGCATTTCATTTTCAAAATTGAGTTGTCAGCTGTTAAAGTGTATATACATTTTGGGGGGACACCCTGTAAAAGCTATAGCATTTAACAGAGGGAAATACTGGCATAGAAAGGCTAAAAAGATCAGTGAAATTGAATAAAGTTATGAAACAGACCCTTGTATAAATAGGAATTTATTTCACTATAAAAACAGAATTTCAAGCGAGTGGGGGAAAAGATGGATGAATTAATAAATGTTATTAGGTTAACTGCCTAGAACTCTAGAAAAAATTATTAATCCTTATTTTTCACCTTCTACAAAAATATAATATTTTAAAGAGCTAAATGTAAAAACCCAAAATACTGTATTAGAAGACAAAATAATTTTAAAAATAATTTTTAGGTGAAGACCTTCCTAAACTGGACAAAGCACAGAAATCATGAGATTTTAGAGTTGATTACACAGACATTTAAAACTTCTGTGCAGCAAAACATCCTATATAATAAAAGGCCAGTGAACATAACAGCATAATGACCAGAATGGCTGATCAACCAGTCACTATGAGGTGCATTGACTACCTCTCAGTCCCTCCCCGCTCTTCTCCTCCCCCTCCTGCCTCTGTCCCGCAGGCTCCAATCACTGGATGGCCAACAGGGAACTATGGGGCACCGGGGTGGGTGTCAGCGATAGGATGGGACTGGGGACTGGCGAGCGGGCAGAAGATGGCCCTGATCACAGGCTAGGCCTAGGGACCCTACCCACGCATGATTTCATGCGCTGGGCCTCTAATAGTTAAAATAAAAGTATTCTGAATAGATAAGCAAAATGTGGCATAGATACACAATGGAATATTAATCAGTCTTAAAAGGAAGAATGTGCTGATACTTGGATGACCCTTGATGACATTTTGCTAAGCGAAACAAGGCACAAAAAGACAACCTCTGTATGACTCCACTTAGAGGAGGTACCTAGAAGTAGTCAAATTCATGGAGACAGAATCTAGAATGGTGGTTGCTAGTGGGTGAGGAGGTGGGGGTGGATTGGGGAGTTACTGTTTAATGGGTACAGAGATTTCAGTTTTGCAAGATGAAGAGAATTCTGGAAAAGGATGGTGGGAGATGGCTGCACGACAAGCTGGATGCCTTATTCCGTTTCACTCGTTAACCAGATTTGAAAATTTAAATTGAAAACAATAACAGCTGATATTAGGAAGGATGAGGAAAGCAAATTATCATGCACTGAGTTTGAATTAGTACCCGCGCGGGGGGCAGTGGTGCAATTTGAAGGATTGTAGCTATCAAATGAAGAAGGGAACAAACCCTTTGATGTAAGAATAGCTCCCTCAGGATTCTAGTTACAGAAATACTCAGGCTGAGCCCCAAGATGAATGCAGTGTCCCCTGAAGCACTGTTGCTAATGTGGAAGGACTTTAAAGGACCATTAGTAAGGGAAAGGGTGGAGAAAGTGTACTTCTACTTTGGAGTGCCATGTAGCCATTACCAAAAGAGATGCTCACAGCCATGGGAAGATCTCTAAGGCTTGAGAGTGAAAAAGTAAGTTGCACAATGTATAGTAAGATCTCATTTACACATATGGAAACACACACACACACACACACACACACACACACAGTGCAAATATATAAAGAAAATCTTGGAATGGCATTTTCCAAACTTAGCTTTCCCTCTTCTGTGTGCGAGTAGGAATGATGATGGTACTCGTACAATTCATTCCATTTACTTCTCTGATGTTTGAGAATCTATTCAGTTCTTTGTACTTTTTATTAAAAGATTTTTTTTTTACAGAGAGAGAGAGAGAGAGAGAGAGAGAGAGAGAGAGATCTATGTGAGATTGAAACATCAATCTGCCACCTCCTGCATGCCCCCTTCCCTATCTGAGCCCACAACCCAGGCATGTGCCCTGAGTGAGGATCAAATTGGCAACCTTTCAGTGCATGGGATACCTAACCAACTGAGCCACACCGGCCAGGGCTGTATTATTTTAAAAACGTAAAAATAAAAGAGCAGGCAACCTGGAGAAAATAAATGCTGAAAACCAGTAGAACTAAAAGAAGAAAGGAGGGAACGCTGGGAGAAGAACCCAGGACACAGCTGTGGGAGAAGATACTCTCGCTTTATGTAGCTGCGAGGAAGCCTGCTTCAAGGAGGGCTGTTGCTCACAAGATTCCTTCCCCATTTCATATATATTTTTCCAAACAGGAGGACTTTCTCCCCCAGGGAAGGGAGGGCCAGGGCTCATCGTTCCTGACCGGGAGCCAGATGACACTAAGATTTCCTTCTACCTGAGCCAACGCTGCCCAGCCGTTCCCACAGGAGGGCACACACTGCTTCCTGTAGTCAGACGCATTTCCATCCCATCCTGTCTCAAAACCGCAGTACATGGTTCTCCCGCTTCGGTTCCCTTTTCAAGACAAGAGGGTTGTCAGAGCACCAGAGGCTGGAATACCTCTGTGCGTCCCCGCGGCTGCTCCTGGTCTTCCAGCCTGACGAAAGGAGGCTGGTGTGGAAGCGATGGTCTTAGACACATTTTCTGGGACAACAGGAGGCAGAACTGGGGCCGAGATGTAAGTCACAAGGAGGCGAGTGACAGCTGAGAATTAGCTCTGTCCAGCAATGTGAGGTGGTGAGCTCCCTGCCACGACAGGCAGCCAAACAGGACTGGATGCTACCGGGGAAGGCAGCGCACTGGGCATGCCCTGAGGATTCTGAGGTTGCATCCGGTGCTCTGAGAGTCCCAGGGATGACTCTGAGGCACAGCTAAATTTGAGAACCTCTGGCTGCTATGACCATTTGAAGTCCTTCAGCCTCAAGGGTCTCTGGGCGCATTTTAAAACTACCCAAGAGAGAGACAGAGCCGAAGAACAATGAAACACCAGCCCCGGGGCCTGTCCTAAAAGGGCCCCCAGTCTGAGGCACAGCATGGTTGTGATAAGCAAACTCCCAAGTCAAACTTGCCTCTGCCACCTGCCTGCTGTGGCCACAGGATGACAAAACCAGTCCCTACCTCAGCGGCGAAGGTTAACTGGGCGAGCACATGTCAAATACTTACAATAGTACCTGGTCCCTGGGAAGCATGGACCATGGTTATGTTGCAGGCAAGGAAACTGAGGCTAAGGCGATGCAAACCTGACCCAAGTCCCAATGTCGGGTTTAGGCCTGGGAATAAGACCTAAAGCTCCTTTCCTTGAATCCAATGAACTGCACCTTATCCAACGCGTTCCCGCCTCTGTGTACACCCGCCCCCACCCCTATTCCTCTTGAGTGGGAGAAGAGTTTGTTCACTAAGCGTCTTCAGACTCGGCGGCTACCAAGGCATTTCTCGGGGCACCTCGCCTCCGCCACAGCGCAGGGAGCGGGATGGACGGGCGGGTGGTGGGAGGGTGGACGAAGGACTCTCAGGAAATGAATCCCTGAGTCAGGAGCCGGTTCAGCGATTTCAGCGCCGCCACAGCCCGCTCTACGGCCGGGACAAGTTTCCTAAGCCCCGCGCGCCCAGGATTGCCCATTAAAGGGGTGGGGGCGCGTACACAGGCCGGGCTCCCGCCGCCCGTCCCGCCCCCGTGCTGGCGCCGCCTGGGGTGCGCGCCTGCCGCCAGGTGGAAACGGAGGCCGAGGCCATCGCCGCTCGGAGGGACCGACTGTCCCGGGAGCTGAGGGCGGGCGGGCGTCGGGGGAGCACACGGACGCCCCGGGCGGTGTGTGGGGAGAGAGGCGGGGTGGAGGGGAGTGGACCGCCACCAGCGTCCCGACCCGGGAGGAGCGGCCGCGGGACCGGGGCCGCAAACGCGGGCAGGAGCCGGGGCCCGCAGCGAGCGCTCGGGAAAGAAGGAGCCCCTCGGTGCCCGCGCAGGGCGGGCGGGCCAGCGGCGCGACCCCGAGGCCCAGCTGCCCCGCGGATCGGGCCCGGGCTCGGCGCCCGAGGGGGCATCGAAGGGGCGGCGAGGGGTGGCGGTTCTCCCCGCGCCGCGCCGGGGCCGCGGGTCCGTCCGAGGGGCCGCCGAGGGCAGCGGGGCGCGGAGGGCGCGGGCGGCGGGCGGTACTCACCCCGCGGCCGGGCGGGAGGGGGTCCGCGAGCGCGACGCGTCCTCGGCGTCCTCGACGGCGCGGGTGGCGGCCGGCGGCCGGCGGGTGGCGGGTGGCGGGCACGCCGCGGGTGGGGAGGCGGCCGGGCGCCCGGGCTATGAATCAGCCGCGGGACGGGCGCCGAGGGGCGGGAGTTACGGGAAACCCGCGGGGGAGGGCCGAGGGCCGCGGACTTTTGCAATTTCCCGTCTTGCTGGCGCTCTTGGCACCCCTGGGACCCGCAGGAATTCGCCTCCCTGGGTCCCGTGGGAGGAGGATGGGACCCTGAGGGGGACGAGGTGCGACCGGGCGGGGGCGGGGGGGGGGGACGAAGTGGGAGAGGCCTGGGGAGGAAAATTGGGGACCACAACCACTTGTGCCCTCGGCGGGGCGCTGGGGAAGGCGGCAGACCCGCGGGGGGGGGGGGGGGGCGGCCACCTGTGGTCCCCACCCAGGCAGACCCCGTGGCCCCGTTTGGTGTTCAGAGAAGTCCTGTGTGTGAGCGGTTCCTCTGCACCTGGTCCTCGTCCCTCCAGCAACGTCAACGTCCGGGACAGTCCAGAAGCTGCGGGTCACAGAGCCTGGGCGCTGCCCTACTTTTCCTCCAAAAGTGCTGGGGATCTTGGAGACACACAGTTCACATTCAGGACTTTGCAAATACACGTTTGCCCTCTCTTATAGGTATGGTGCTCTGTCGAGAGCCCCATCGACTTGGGAGCTGGTGTGGAGTCCCTAATCCTGCCGCTTCGAGGCAGCCTGGACCCGGGAGCACAGCCTGGACCCGGGAGGACAGCCTGGGCCGGGGAGGACAGCCTGGACCCGGGAGCACAGCCTGGACCCGGGAGGACAGCCTGGGCCGGGGAGGACAGCCTGGACCCGGGAGCACAGCCTGGGCCCGGGAGCACAGCCTGGGCCCGGGAGCACAGCCTGGACCCGGGAGGACAGCCTGGGCCGGGGAGGACAGCCTGGACCCGGGAGCACAGCCTGGACCCGGGAGGACAGCCTGGGCCCGGGAGCACAGCCTGGACCCGGGAGGACAGCCTGGGCCCGGGAGGACAGCCTGGGCGTGGGAGGACAGCCTGGACCCGGGAGGACAGCCTGGACCCGGGAGCACAGCCTTGGCCCGGGAGGACAGCCTGGGCACAGGAGGACAGCCTGGACCCGGGAGCACAGCCTGGGCCCGGGAGCACAGCCTGGGCCCGGGAGGACAGCCCTGTTCTGCTCCGGGTCTGGGGACCCTGGAAAGTATCACTAAGGGCAGGGGCTGTGGGGCCGGAGAGGGACCAAGTGATGGAGAAGGATTGTGGGAATCATACCTCACAATGACTTCTCGAATTGACAAGTGGCTCAAATTCATGTCAGAGCTTTTCCAGATGTCACTTTTGTGTTTGCCCATACTTTTTGCTCCTCCCCAATGTCATCGCACGGAAAGACTTCTTTTCTGTCTGAATACACTTAATGGTGCCATGAAGACTACTGAAGCGCATAGTAAATATTTGATGATGATGAAGAAAAAGTGCTTTTGTCTAAATACATGTGCGCCTTTGCCACACCTCCCATTACCTCCAGGGTTTTACGGAGCCTATTCCTTTAGCTATCTGCATGGCTGTGGAAAGGGGCGAGCCAGGCCCCAGCGGGTTGGAAAGGCTTTCTGAGTCTCTATTTCACTGAGAAGAGAAAAAAAAAAGTGACTTTCTTCTTGATAGAATAGTTCAGAGGGGAGGGGTACCTCCCTGAGCAGATGAAATGCCAAATAAAATAGTATTGAGAGTGAACAATTTCTGCCAAGGGAGTGGTAAGTTACTTTGGGCTCGGATTACAACAGAAGGAAGCTCAGGTGCAAAACAATTCCGTGTTGTTGGTGGCAAACCTCGGGAGGTCCCCGGAGAAGTTAGAAGCTGGCCGCACACACCCATCGGAGAGGGGCAGTTCAATAGCACAGAAGCTTCCGCAGGAGAGCGCTCTGGGGGCCCAGCGGCGGCACATCTCCACCCCTTCCGCCAGGATCTAATGAGTTTCTGCAGAGGCCTTACTGCGGTTCAGTAAGTACACCACCCAGATGGTCTCAGGAACACAGTCTCTAGGGACAGCACCCTCCGAAGGCTTCTAGTAAAGAAACGGGGACACACACTCCAAGGCCAGAGGGAGAGATGAGGAGCCTCTGACCGCCTCGGTCCAGTTCCGGGGTCAGGTGGGCTCACGTCCTTTCAGTGACCTCCTCCAACAGGTGCCCACAGAAAATCCAATTACTGTACGCACCCTTCTAATTGCCTTTTTTTTTTTTTTTTACCATCTATTTTTTTATTGACCTTAGAGAGAAAGGGAGAGGGAGAGAAAGATAGAAGCATCAATGATGAGAGAGAATCATTGATCAGCTGCCTCCTGCACGCCCCACACTGGGGGGTCGAGCCTGCAACCCAGGCATGTGCTCTTCCAGGGAATTGATCCGTGACCTCCTGGTTCATAGGTTGACTCTCAACCACCGAGCCACACTGGCTGGGCAAATTTCTGTAATGTTTAAGCCACTAAATCTGTGGTAATTTGTAACAGCACCCCTAGCAAAGTATGTATGTAATACATATTCCAAAGGTTACTTTTTAAAATTAGCCTGAAAATAGCTGATAGGAAAAAGATGAGAAATACCAACAGCTTATTAAGGCAAGGGCTGACACACCCTTCCTTGCTTAGCACGGACAAGGTTGTGTTGGGAAAACGCATATTTATTCTGCTTCAGTTGACACTCCTCCCTGATGTCCTCTCTTGCTTTGATGTCAGTGGCACAGCTCTCTCCGCTCTCCCCCATTTTCCCGACTCTCTCCTCTGTCACCTCCGTGGGCTTCTTGTTCTCTGCTTGTCCCTTGGATGTTGGTGTGTCCCAGGCCTCCACCCTCGACGTTCTCCTCTGACCCACAGTCTCCTGAGTGACCACATCCATGGTCCTGATTTCAGTGATCACTTGTGCTTTGGTAACCCCAGATTCGTCCTTTCCAGTGCAATTATCTCTTTACTCCAGACCAACTTACTTGTGCATCACACTCCATAGGTCCAAGGTGGAACCCGCCACTTTTCCCCGTTTGATTCTCTTATGTTATGTGAATGGCCCAACCTTTCATTTAGATACCAAATTAAAAAACCTGGGAGTGATCCTTGATCCATTCCCCATCATCTTCCATCTTCCATGGGAGTTTTGTGTGTAACTATTATAGGGGAGGCCTCAGTGGGATATATCCCTACCCTGTCCAACTTCTCAGGAGGAAAATAGTTATAAAATTGTCATTATAACATTATATAGATACAGATATGGATATAGATATAGGTGTAAGTATGGATATATGAAATCAGCTATTGTGATTCTATTTGTTCAACTTCTTTAAATATCTATATATGTTTGCCAGCATTTGGTAGCCAATATTGCACAAGAACACATGTGAAGGAATTGGAAGTTTTCTGAAGAAAGTGGCTTCAAGTAAGTAATGGATGATGACTTACAATTGCCCTCAGGGATAAGAGTTCTCATATAATTTTTTTTTTTTGGTGTATTAGCACAATCAATATTTTAAAGAGTCACTTTTAGGTCTTAAAACATGCTGCTCTGATTATAATTGCTGGTGATACTGGCAATATTTTTAAGAGAACTTAATGAAATAAAAATGTTATTTTGCATTGTGAGAAACAAAGTAGGCCCTCTGAAAACTTTTAAATCTAAGCTATATCACAAAGCTTGATTAGCTAAGAGACGTCTATCACTTCCAAATGCTCCCCCTTCCCCCCTAAAAAAGGTGGAGGGGAGCCAGGAAGTGCGTGGAACTTTCACATTTAATAATTTCAGGGGATTTCCTAGAATTACTTAATTATGAATTGCTCCCCTCCCAATATCTGTAAAGTAAATTAAATGAGGTATGACATCATCCTTAAGAGTTCGAAAGGAGTTTCTTGCTTGAAGAGAGTATTACTTGAAGATGACTGATGGATGGATTGATTGATTTTACACATTTCTCCGTCTCCTAGATATTGTAACTGTGTTCTCATCTGGTCCCAGAAACCATCCAAAGCCAGGCAATGGTGAGAACTTGTTTGGATCTTTTACTTTCTTTCTCCCCATGGGCTTTAGGGGGAATGTTGACTTAGTGTTTGTTTGATTCTCTTGGCCTATGGCTATGGGAATTAATAAATATGAGTGTGGAAGTTAATACTAAAGAATAGAACATTAATCCAGTGAGGGGGGAAGTACTTTGGGGAAGAATTAGATGGGAACTTTGGGGACTTTTGGAAACTATTTTCTAATTTTTATCTATATCTAAATAGCATCACATTACAGACAGCATGTAGGTGGCACTCCTTAAATATTCATTCTGACGATCTGTACTTTGACGTGATAGGAAGTGTTTAGCACACTGACATTCAAGGCAATTATTAACGTGCTTGAGTTTAACCTACCATTTTACTATATATTTTCTGTTTTGTTTCCTCTTTTTATTTGGTTCTTCTCTTTCTTCTTTTCTGCCTTCTTTTACATTTTAATTCTTTTAGAATTTTATTTTAATTTTCTTTACGAGTTTTTGTTATTCCCCTTTGCAGGACTTTTAGCCTCTGCTCTATGAATTACAATATGTATCCTTCAGTTCTACTATTTACCTGTCTTTGGATTTCCTCTGAACTTTGTTCACATGCCAAAAACAAAATTTATGTGAGGGAGTTACAGTAAGCTGTGTCTTTATCTTTCCATTTGTGCTTAAACTAATTTGATCTAGATTAAACAGAAAACTTCTTAAAGGCACTTCCTTTTATCTTCAATCTTAGCTTCTTAAATGCAGCCTCTTTCATCCAGTTCTAACACAATCGCAATCATTTTGTCCATTATCAAATATGATCAGACGATGCTTAGTCCCCCTGGAATGATGTGGAGGTAATTTCCACACTCCCAAGGCATTCTTTGGGGAACAGGCCAGGGAGAAATGTTTATTCAGATTCAACACAAAATAACCAAGTTAAACTAGAATAAGATGAAAAACCCAAGATGGAGAGAAATGTTATTAAGTCAATGTTATTAGAGCTTATAGGAAAAATAACTATAAGAACGTGTCTTCCTAGAATTTGTTGAACATACCTAAAGATGAA